CAGCGAAGAAAGTGTCTCGTGTAATAGACGTGCAGAAGAATAATCAATTGAAGTATAATTTCACGAGAGTTCCGGAGACAGATCCGAGAGCCTGCTTCAATCGAGCTACCTGGAGCCCGGCTGTGAACCTGCAGCAACCACCACTCGGGACATCTCACCTGATATTGGGAGACAGTTTAGTCAGACTGCTGTCGAATTTGAGGACCTCGTGGGTCACCACGGTGATGGCCTTTGGAGGCGCGACAATAGCCCAATTATATCGGATGGTGGAACTGATGAATCCAGGGAAGATTCCCAATGTGATGATCTTAGTTGGGACGAATGACATCTCCAGAGGATCAGACGAGCAGGAAGCACTGTGGGAGTCAATGATGGTGTGTTTGTTCACTACTCTCTGGCAGAAGTTCAGTTGCGCGGTACTGACCGTTTGCACTGTGCCAATGAATACGAGAAGCCTGACAGCATCAGGAAGGAGGCACAACGAGGGAGTCATGAGATGGAACAACATACTGAGGAACATAGCAAATCGAAATGCCGGAAGAATGATCCTCATGGACATTGAACATGAATTGAGAGCCATGGATCAAGCCAGACTGACCACGGATGGCATCCACTTCGACAGCATCGAAGGACAGGCTTGGTTGAATCGAGTCTTCCAAGAACGGTTGGATGGCTGGAAGCTCATGTGAGAGAAAATAATAGACAGGAGGCGCCGACGAGAGAACAATTGCGGAAATTAGATTTTCTAAAAGATTTAGATCTTTTTGAGACAATGAGCAAAGTTCTAAACATTCCGATGGAAGTGAAGAAGATATGGGCGAGAAAACGATTGATGCCATGGTTCAGAGCTAACATGACTGCATGGTTGTACGAGTATGCGAAAAAGCATATGTCGAAACATGGCAGAGTGTACAGTGAATATCAGCAGGACATTGGGGCAGGAGCTTTCAAGCGAGCTTTCGTGACTCATCGGAATGCAGTGACCACCGCTGTGAAAAGAATTTCCAGGACGAGCGAGCGTAGTGGAAATGAGAAGGCAGAGATGCTGAAAGAAGATTTGAAGAGACAAACGTGACGTTGTGTCTCCACAACAGCTTCTGTAGAAACAGAGAATCAAACGTGGATCCCCTACCTTGCTGTAAACAGAGGGTGGAAGAGCAGAAGTGTTGGAGGACGGCTTCCAACAGCGTCAGGATAGTCAATGACGTGCTACAAGACACGGAAACCGAAAGTGCGGAGTCAGTGTCACAGGAGGAGGAAATGGAGCATTGACGAATGGTCGAGAAAACAAGAGGCAGCAAGAAAGAAAATTAGAAGAATTTAGAAGTTTTAGAACTTCTAAACGACGAAAAAAGAAGAGAACAAAGGGATGATGAAGAAGAGTTAAAACTCAGAATTGTTTTATGTGTGTGAAAAACTCAAGTGAGAAACCAAGCAACCAAGTTGTAATTGAAAACTGAAACATTTAGTTGAGTTTTGAAATTGTTGCATTTATAAATTTGCATTTTGATTTTAGCAGAAGTGGCTTTAGAGACACTTATTATTTATTTAGAAAGGCTTAAGGGAAGAGTATATTGAAATAACCAGCCTGCATGATTGTTTTTAATCACTTAGGAAGATTGATCACTTTGTGGTGACGTGGAAGGCTTGAGTAATCTCTTGAAGAGGGAGGTTGTTGCATTGTTCTTTCTAACCACAAAGTTTCTTAGTTTTAATATTCAGGACAATAAACAAGCAAGATTTCCGAAGGGAAGGAGCATAGTAGGATAATTTTAGCTTGTTGGTTGGCAGGACTGTCCTGCAAGCCAACACCTTTTAAATCTAGGAGAAAAAGCTTTAATCGGGACATTGACACTGGAAGTCAGAAAATATGTTTTATCTTAAGTCATATCCTCAATGTGCAGATTAATGAAAGAATTTGAAGGCTATAGTGATGTAGTATGATGCCATTTATATTCTGCAGTGAGTCGATGTGACGTAGATAAAAGTAATTTCGTGCATTTTGTAAATTCTGTTCGATGACACTGTAACCATTTAGAACATAGTGCGATTCAATGAGGACATTGACCGGACTGTCCGGGGAGTATGTGACATTCGACCAGAATGGCCAAAGTGCAATTTATGCAGGCTTCGAAATTTTAGCAGTAAGCCTTCCGAGTTGATGATTTCGAAGGATTAGCGACGTTATTGGAACGTTTAGCCAAACGGTGAGGGCTAGAATATTCTGGTATTTTAAAATTTCAAAAATTCGAATGATGACGTCACATTTCTGAGAAATGCTGAAACGGCCATTTTTAACAAAAAACGAGTGAAAGAACACAAGAACAACAACGTTGGTTGCGCTGACGAGAACAACTTTATCTGTGATTGCGAACAGAACGAATATCGAGATTAAAGAAAAACGACAACGAACTACAATAGCAGAGAACGTTCCAAGTTGCAACTATTGTGCTGCTACAATAGTTGCAAGGCCGTTGCCAACAACGGTGAAGGGTGAGAACCAGCCTTCCGGATTGGCGTGAAATTGAACTTAAGGAGCTTGATTCACTGGATTCAAGAATCCGGAAGGGTTTCGGGACTGGAACTTTTAGCCTTTTATATAAACTTTTAGCTTCTTGTCATGTCCTGAATTGAATTTAATTAACAACTGGATTCATTTTGATAAGGATGAGAAGCTAGGAGTTGGGGGGAAAGGGTTGATCCATCTTCGATGGAGATGATGGTTTTTATCTACTGAACAAAAACAATAGTAATATAATAAGTAGTAGCCCTGTTTTTAGGAGTGACCTCGTGGTCTGGGGATACTGAGACCCAGCCATGATCTCACTATTTTTGCATGTAATTCAGTTAATTTGAGCGTTCTGGTCGAAGCCGGAGAACAGTAACGTTTTTGTCGACCCGATGTTAGAAAAGACCACCGAAAAGTACTGGCTTGGTAGAGACGGTGAAAAACATGCAAAGCTCTGTTTAGACGCTAGCCAGTCGTCTTAAGACTTAGTTTTGTTATCCGTCGATATGTATCTTCCGCGCGAATGTTACACCACTTGACAGACCTGTCTCTAAAATCCCTCAGAGGGCGCTCCACATACAGGCACAAACATCAAACATATCTATTTAATAAGTTTATCACAACAATTAGGCTAAAAGAGCTCATACTTGTTGTGATGAGCTCTTACAACAAGCATGAGCTCATGCTTGTTGTAAACATTCTTATCTTCTTAATTTTCGGTACCATTACAAAACTTATCGCCCGTTGTTTCGTCATCGTTTTTCTCGTCGCTGGCATTATTGGAGCTTGGTTTTTGTGGGTAGTGATTATTTGGATTATTGGTTATTTGGTTCCCTATGTTGCACCAATCATCGTGATGACCTTTTTCTTGGCGTTTAGACATCTTGCATTTTTGACATTCAATTAGTGAATGTATGTGAAACTAGATTTCTACACCTTCCTACATTTTGAAGCCATCCATTCTCGATTTGTAAGACCAGTCCTTCAGCTTCTTCTCTTGTTCTTCGTTTTGTATTTTAACTTCTAAAATTGCTCTTCCGGTGTAAACATACTGACCCGGTTCAGTTACGATACAGGTCTCACGTTGGAATATGGGGCTATGAATTATGTCTTCTGGCAATTGGAGAATTAATTTCGCTTCGATATCGTTGCATACATAAGGCAAGTTCGACAATTTGATTTTTGCTAGTTTAGGGTAAATGTTCTTGCGTCTATGAGACCCTGGAAAGCATCCCATGGGAAATACCGTCCTGTTAAGTAGAATGATTTCTTCGCTTTTGATGCTAAGTATGAATTGCTCTGCTTCGGGGGGAGCAATAACTGTCAGTGTATGAAGTTTGCGGTCATCTTTCGTCACAGTTATTGTTTTTGAGATTGTCATCTTCTGTTGCATTGTTGTGGGGAATTGTTTAAGTATATCGGAAGCACATCTTCGATATGCCTGCGCCAGATTTTCAGCTGACTTTACAATATCTCTCGAGAATGGGGGGATGATTTTGATTATTTGGAGTTTTTTGTTTCTGTCGTCGATTTGTTTGCTGTTAGTGCATTTTTGAAATTTGTCTCGGTTTCAATCAGCACTTCGTGAGTAAATGGTAGCTGAGATTCTGTCAGTTGTTGTTGACTCATGACTTGGTTTTACTCAATGGGGGGCAAAAAAGCCTTCACCCGGAGATATACTTGAAAAAAAAATTAGATTTTTTTTCTTTCATAATGTAGAAATCAGAAGGCAAAAACATCAAATTAAATCTTCTTTTTCACCTTTTCATACACAAATTTTCGATGCTGATTCGAGTGCTATTCCAACATGTCAGTGTTTAAAAAATTGTTTGTTACCAATATTTTCACATATTATTGAAATTAATTTTTCTTTTCAATAGTTCACCGTAAAGCCTTGCTCGCAAATCTCGCATCCTCTGTTTGGAGCGAAAGGAATCTGTTTGAATTTAATTTTTTCTCAAATAATCACATCACCACCAATTAACTGACCTCAATTAACAGGAATTTTTAAAATTGATTGCTTATTAGATGTTATGTAATAAATTCATAAGTTTGTACGATTTATCTGTTTGACATTTTCATGAATTTTTATCACAACTGTAAATGTTAGTTAAATTTTTGAATCTGAAGATGCGCTAAAATTGAGCGAAAACCTTTGTTCATTTTACAATTTTCATGTGTTCGATAAATTATTCTCTTGTGTAAAATCATCATCCCAACTTGTTAAGATTGAATTCAAAGAACCAGATCCCAGGTCAAATCATTATGTTTTTGTTAAAATTCCCAATCACTTAATTTCGCATGTGTTGTGACAAGCATGGTTAATTACAGTATCAGAGTATAAATTGCTTTAAAAACCTAAAAACCAAAGAATACGGTAAAAACTAACTGGCCAACACGGCCAAGGACGCTTGATGCAACTTTGTTCACCTTGAAATTTGTGGCTCTTATTTAAAAAGTTGTACTATCTTGGTTCTTGATGAGTAGTTGCAGAAGCATTTTTAGATTAGTCATGATAAAACCATAACTGAATGGACGTTAAAATAAGGAGCCTTCTGGCGTTGTGCGACAGTAAGTGCTTTCTTCTTTTTCTCATGCATTGTTTTTTTTCTGAAAAACACGCGCATATTTTGCTTAGATAATGGGCAAGCTCTTGATGAGGCGTTTGAATATCTTCGAAACAACGAATCCCGGCCTGCTGTTGATGGGCCGGATATGTTCAGCCATGATCTTTTTGTCCTGTGTGCTGAGTCAGCCATTCAGGTTAGTTTCTTTTGTGAAAGAAGAGGGATTAGTTCTTTTTTTCGACTACGCTCGGAGGACTGGCAACATGATCAGAAAGAAAATCAGAAGGTCTTAAACTATTCTAATGGACTAGTCGGCAATTATAATTGAGTACGGTGGGTTATTTTATCAGTTTTATGTTGAGCGTATGTAATATCATATCAAAGCCCTTTCAGACGTGATTCCTTTTTGCAAAAGAAATGATGAAAATTTATTTCAGTGCAGAGAAAAGTTGGTTGGGCTAACTTTTCAATTTTTTAAACTTTTTTCACCCACGACTGAATTTCTAATCAACATGTAATTTTTACTGCATTGTGCCCCCTTAAAACTTATCCCTTTAGCTAAAAAAAGCAACTGATAATTTGGATCAAAATTCAATAATCTTTCTGGAAAAAATGTGGTATTCAAACTTTTTTCCTTAAATTGAAATTCACTGCAACAAATGGCGTAGTCTGAACATTTTGTACTAGTTGCAAAGCAACCGGCTGTCCTTATTTTTCACATAGTTAATTATTAAATACCAGTTAAAATTTGCTGAGCAGCAGTATTAAAGCAGCCTATACGCTGATATGAAACTGCAGCATGCGGTAAAAGTTTGTCGAAAACCTGCTGACTTCTACAAATTTCGAAGGCGCCTGCAGCTAAATTTGATTTTGAAGGTAAGCCACAAATCATTTTCTATGAGTTAGTTTTTGTCATAAAGATAGTGAAGGCGTGTTTTTATTCAAGCTTCATAAGTAATTCACGTGAAAAATTGATTGATTGACAATTCTCATTAGGAGCTGCAATGAGAAGTTCTCTTTTTGTCAAGGAAATTAAATTGTATACACCGCCAACCGTCGTTGAAGCAAATCATGTTAAACAAGCAAGGAAACTGAAATTTTACTAGTACGCTTAATTAAGCCGTGTTTGACTTGTAACTGGACCATTAAAAGTCAAACCCTTCCTCCTTGGCAAAATGCTTGAACTATTAAAACAAAGTAGAAAAGGAATCATTTGACACAAATATAACGCCGTACTATTTTGAAGTTGCAAATAAATGAGCAATAACCAACGCATTCAGAAAGACTGATCAACTATCGTTAAACAAAAACTCAACTGAGCTGAACAACAAAGTCTTCGACTTTATTCCTCCTATTGAAGTTAAATTTTATTATCAGAAGTGAAATTATCTGCTAAAACGATGCCGTTTGAAAGCACAATCTATAAAAACAAGATTTTAACACTGACTGACCTTTGAAATTCTAAACAAATAAGCAACATGGGCATTGAAAGATGTATGTAATTAATTATACCCACATTTCGCATTTCTTATATCTGAACAAATAAAACATAGCTTGCTCTCAATGAAATTTAAAAAGCAATTGTTACTCCATTACGAGGTGTCACATCCCTAAATTCCATTTATGGGTGTGATTCAATATTTGACCCAACCAAATTACTTCAAGGCCCCATTTGGTATTTACGACCACGAACTATATTTTCTGTGAGACAACAAGAAGATGTGAACGAGGGGACAAGCAAACATCACTATGAAGAAACAGGAAGTGAATATTTGAACTCAAATAATAAACTCCGAAAAGGGCTTGGCGATGAAAAACAGAGTGGCCAACCTTTGCTGATAACTTTGTTAAATAATTTTGATGAGTGTAAACAATAACTTATACTCATGGTTTATAAACTTTGTAAAATCACTCGAGAGATATCCGCGAGAGTGATCAGCTTGATTCGAAATTAAAGCCTCTGCCTAAAATATCTTTTTCTGTTCTTTGAGTTTTCAAGAGGAATACCGCCCTGCGAACTGAACGACATCCGATTATCTCTCGGACATAGAACTTTCCTCGTCATTTGGAAAGCGACTAAATAAGAAACTGAGTAATACTCAGAGAAAACTTCAGAGACCTCATAGTAAAATATCGGGATACGACACAAGGCCAAACTGTGCACTGGATAGGCGCACAATTTTGAGTCTGAATGTTCCTGAATTCCAGAGACAAGTCTTTAAACATAATAAAATTTTGTCGGAACGATCAAAAAAATGAAATAGCAAAAGAAAAACAAAGGGAGCGTCCTTGTTGCGGTATCCGCTTACATTTTCCAAAAGAACAGTTCGGCATCGTAATGTCCATTATGCAAAAAAGATGATTCAGAGGTAGTAGGCAATAATGGACCAATATCCACAACAAGCGAATTTTTAAAAGTTTTCAAAAAATTTTAGGCACACAGATTAACGAAAACCTAATATGTAATAACTTGTTCAGTAACCTTCAATGTGGTTTGAGAATCCCATATTCAACCATCGATGCTTTTTTGTACCGAATTTTTCGCAAGTCATTGGATAAAAATAATTACGTTGCCGTAAGATAGTTTCTAAAAAACACTCGATTCAATCAACCGCTTGAAATTAAAAGCAATCAAAATCGAGCTGAGAGCTGATCAAGTTCACTAAAAATCATCATTGCAGAGATCATAGAACCAAAATCAGTACAATATTAGCTGATAATCTTAAAGAAGAAAAACCATAAGTGAAATATTTAAGAATAACTAGATCATTTTTTTTTTCAAAGGAGAAGTTAAAAGTATAATAAACATAATGGCCTGAGGAATCAAACCGCTACAATTAATGAAGAAACCTCTTAAAATGGAAAAACAATTAAATCAATAAATCTTTAGTCATAAGCCAATTGCATTAGCCAGCTGTAGTCTTAACTGTTATACAACGAATGAAAAAAGCTGAGCTGGGCAATCAAGACCTGCTAAGGTAGAAGAAAATTCGACGTCTCATAGAATCTTAAAAAGAGTTTACTCTACCATTTGTTTCAATGAGCCTTGATTCCCCTTGCCATAAGCAAGAGTATTGTAATCGGGTACCAGGCTTTTTCCCGTAAATAACTCTGTCCACAGGACTCACCTGGACTCGTGGTAACTTGGTTCATATTGAATTGATATTTCTTGTTGTCTCCTGCACACTTAGCTTGGAGGCAACGAACACGCCTGAGACGGCAACGTCATAGGGTTTGAATATGACTAGGACCTGTTTTTTTTTCAGACGGTAAATATTCCGGTTCAAAAAATATTCGCCTTATTGTTTGTCAGCTTATGTTGGTTTAGTTTCCAGATCTACCAATCGTTTTTTTTGCTCTAATTTTTTTTACTGTAGTTGCTTTCAGTGTTTAAGCATTTTTAAAATAAGGCCGAAACGAAATTTGTTTTTAATACTGTTTGTAATTTTACCAACTCCATTTGTCAAAACGGCTTTTTTTTCTTCATTTTTTGTCTTTTTTTTCGGTTATTAATATTCAGCTTTGTCGTGCGTGTTCTCTGACGGGAGAAAGCACATAAACATTTTCTTTTTTCTTAGAATTTTTTTCGAATTTTTTCGGCGTGAAATATTTCTGCTCAGGTATTTTCGGCTTTATTACAGCATCGTAATTATAAATTCAAAATCAATCAGCCGTCCGCCGCATCTGGCGTAAAGGTGACACAACTGCTTGAGACCGCTTTTTGAATTGACAGTTTTTTATTGACAAAAAAGATTTGTTGATTTTTTCTTCAAAGATTTCTGTTTGATTTTAATGAAATTTATATCGCAAGTGGTGCAGAGCTCAGTTTTGCCTGTATTGAAAATTGATATTTTTGGAAAATCATAAATGTTATGGAAAATGAAAATCAATATACCACCAGTCGACACGAGAGTCAAGTACGAGAGCAACACGACTGAAGAAAACAGAAGAACATTGTATCAAACATTGTTTTCTTCTCGGAAAAACAATTTCAAATTGGAACTTAATTCCAAACGCAAATGAAAATATTAGAAACAGCAGCTTAGTGACTTTCGTCTTTTTGTCAACTAGCTTACTATGCCATCTTAACGATGTATCACAAAAGGTGCGCAGCTTGGCCTCAGAGTTAACGCTTAACTTGCCTGAAAATAAAACACAACAGCGTTTTTTAATCACTTGAAACTTCTCTTTTGTTCTAGCAAGGCAAAATTCTGATGGCGCGAGACGCCCTCAAAATGTACTTTGGCAGAATTCCTCCGCAGAATCAGTTTTTGGGACGAGCTTATCTTGCACAGGCTCAATTGCTAGCACCTGAGTCATCTGAGAATGTCGAACAGCTTGAAAAAGCAGTCGTTTTCCTTCTCCGAGCGATCAAGTTTGCGAAAGAAAACTCCAGGTTAATAATTTCTAAGATTGATATCATTGACCTTGAGAGTTCACACAGAGAGACTTTGGTCTTTTTTAGGTATTACTTTATAGTGTACAATGCATCAGTGCTGTATTGGACCTTCTGCAGACCTTTTCTGAGGCCTGGGTACAAAAAGTATCTGGCACCCAGTCTGCTTATGGTCTCCAGGGCCCTGGATGACACAAAGGATCCGGACTACGAGTGGAGAGCTACTCTGATGATGTAAGCAGCAGTATATCACCTTATTTATATCTTATATTGTCCTCCAAGAGGAAAACTAATAGAAAACGTGCTGAAGTGTGCTTATGAGTTGATAAGAGAAGAATAGAAGCATTTTGTTCTTACTTAATTTAAATGTTTTAGCCCAAAAAAAGCTCCCGTCTGATAGCTATTGATAAGACAACATTTAAGCTCTTCTGAACACTTTCTAAATCCTAAAGTTTTTATAGCTGTAAATTAGTCATTGTAGTAATACAAATGTGATCAGCGTGGATCATATACTGTGCTTAGATCTCTGATGGATAGTTTGCTGGAGGCAGGGAAGTTCAAAGATGCTATCGATGTCTCTGTCAATGCGGCTTCTTTTACGAAGCGTCTTGTACCACATCTGTTCAAAGATGTTTTCAGACTGCAGGCAAGCGTAATCTTTTCTAGTTCGATGATGTTAAAACCCAGTTTAAAAAAGATGGACATGAACTAATTTCAGGACACTCTTAAAATCGTGCTATGTTTAAATAAAACTTCTCCTGGCTTATACAGAACTCTCGGTTCCATTTTTGAAGAATTTAGCTTTATTAGAAAAGTTATTAAATCATAAGCTTTCATTCAAATGTGTAAGCAAAAGTGGTACAACAAAGCTGATCATTCGAAGTGTTTTTTTTGTTTGCTGTAGATAATACACGACCTGGTGGAGCTTCCGTTCCTGTATAGGGCATCTAGACAGTCAGGAGATTTGAACTGCTTCTATCGATTGCAAAAGTTCAGAGCGTATGTAAAATATCAAACTTTACCTAGCCTATCAAAGTTACATTTTCTTGCCCGAAAAAACTTCACTTTTATGATTCGAAAATTGAGAGCTCACTACGATACGTTTAAGTCGGTTGGTGTTGATGAAAACAAGTTGTGAAGGATTAATAATCCGGTTGTTCTGGGTGTTTCAGCAAAGCGACTAGGGGCGATTTCATGTCTGATCCTAAGGGGCGTCTGATTAAGTGCCTGGACCAGATCATGAATAGGGCCCTCGATGAAGAGGAAGATGACGAGGAAGAAAGCGCAATAAGTGAGGCGGGCAAACCGAAACTAGGCAGAAAGCCAGCTAGCAGGTAGAAGATTCTCTTAACAATTTAATTGAAATGATTGATCTGTCCAATGAGTAGTTGTTGCACATTTCGGAAATCAATAAACGAATTGGCTTTTTTTTCGTATTAGAATGGTAATATTTTAGCCGAAGATTCCAAATAGCTTGTTCGCATCTGCCATTGCTAAATAACGAATTGGCTTTTTTTCGTATTAGAATGGTAATATTTTAGCCGAAGATTCCAAATAGCTTGTTCGCATCTGCCATTGCTTCGCGAATGTTGGAACGTACGCAGAATGTTGGAACGTACCTTGAATTTTTCCACTTAGCTGTTCAGTGAAGTGTTATTGAGCGATTTTTTAATGCTATATATCTATTTTGATACTCAGAGTTGAAATATTTTTAGAAAACTGTCATATTTGGTGTCCTTGTTTATTACCAATATTTCAACTGTCTGTTGAGTATGTTCAAATACTTCGTTGTGACGCAATTTAACCATGTTTTTAATCTGCAGACCAGTGGTGAAAGTGTCAAAAGGGAATAAAGGTGGGGCAGGGGGTGCGGGGGGAGCTAGCTCCTTCCACGCCTACCACGAGTCCCAGCTCTCACTCGTGGAGCCCGAGCAACAGTAAGAAGAACTAACCGCTGCAAAAAGCACCTTATCTTTGCTAACTATTGAAAATTTCGAATTACTTGGTTGAAACTTTGAAACGCCACGTGTTTTTATGCCAATTTCGAGTTCAGATAACTAGAAAAACTATTATTTTATTTTTTTTTTCACGACGAACCAATTTCTACGAATTACATAAAATTGCTTTTTTAATAATTACGCTTCCGATTAGCAAGCGTTATCAAATCGGAATGTAGACTTTTCTTCGTGTTAACAACTAGTTAAACGAAATCAGTTGAATCAATCGCTGATGACATGCTGTTCAATTTCCCCTCGAGAAAATCCTAGATTCCCTTAACATATCTTTTTTAATACCGAATGATCACACCTGCCTCATTTTATCCAAAACAAATCTTCTCTCGCAAAGTTATTCTGTTCCCTTTGCTTACTGAGAGTTTTCTTTTTTAAACTCGAGTGATTTGAACGTGCGCAATTTACATGACTGGCACTCAAATGGTTTCCGTCGTTTGCATACTAATCGGGTTTGTTTGCAGCGAACGCTCTGACGCGTACGAGTTTGTCTCCTGGTAAGTGTTCAGCTCATCTATTTAGTTCACTCTGCTTTCTGTCTATCCTTTCTTTCATTCATTGTTCAAGAGTGGAAAATTGTCGAATACTAAGAATGAGAATATCATGCCATTTTAGATTAATCTTCGGATTAAGTGGAAGATTTTTTATGTTATAATATTTGTGTGTAGTGTGCGAAGTAGATCTAAAGTATTATGATGTCAAGTATTTCTGTTTGTAAAAGAAAAAGTTTTATATGCTTCTAAATTTATCTGAAAAAATTGTTGTTTGGTATTAAATATTTTATTTTGTAGGCCGGCCCTTCTCATTGACATGTTCCGACTGTGTATGGATCAGGGCTACTTTGATTTAGCAGAGATGGCACTCAATGACCTCAAAATATGCACGGCTTTGGTACGTTGAAACTAGCTTTCAGGCAATTAAAAGTTCATCGTGGTAGTCGGTTAGCGTGACTTCGAGAGTCGTAACCGCTGCAATATTATTTGAATGATTGAACTGATTGAGGAAGCGATGATTTAATTGTGTTTCATTTTACGTGTGGTTTTCTTTTGTTGTAGAGCAAAGCGGACGAAGTTGAGCTGGAGATCTTGGACTCGGAGTTGATGCTGAAGAAACTGGGGACGAATGAGGAGTCATATCGGAAGGATGTGATCCAACTGAGACAGAAACTGGTGGAAAGAGTGGAGCAGGCTCTGAGCAATGCAGTCAGACTGGATGACAGAGACCTGGTCCAGGCTGCATGCACCACTCTCTGGAACATCTGTCTGCCGCTGCTGCAGCCCAATTTGAGGGCATCCATTCGAAGAGCTCTCACTCTGATCGCCAACACGTTGGAAGAAATTCAAAGGTTTGAGACAGATTTAAAAGCTTATACTTTGTAACCGCCGCACGATTGTTTGAAACTTTGAAGAGTTCACCTTAATAATATTTGTTGTTTAGATTATCTATGTTTTTTGTGATGTTGATTATTTGATCACGCACACTTTTCGTTTTGACTAGTCTGCTGCGTTTGATGAGATGTCAAGTGCACACTGAACTGGCAAAGTGCGAGGAAGACGTGGAACAGAACCAGGTGGCAATTGAGCACATCAAGAAAGCGATGCTGTTGGATGACGAGGGACAATACGTGGAGAGACACGAGAACAGCCTGGAGAGGCTGGAAATGCGCATCACTCTCTACGACACCCCCGAGGACCCACTGCTGTTGGCAGCCCAGATCATAGAACAAGCCAGCAGCACAGGGTCTGGAACGATGACGATGAGGAGGGCCCATCTCATGAAGGCAGGCCAGGCCCTGTCCCCAGATGCCTTCTCGCTTGTCATTGAAGCCGAGAGTTTCAATAAAGGTAAGACACATTTATCATTCGCAGGTTAGTTTAATAGTAAAACCTGAGCTGAATGGTTTTCATCATTGATCAGCAAAATTTTTTCCTTAAAATTTTTTTGAAATACCGTTATTGCAATTTTACTAGATTTTTATTTGGTGGTTGGTTGCATTTTGTTTCGATCGACATCAAGCAGTTATTTGTTATGGACATGGGCAGATCTAGGATTTTATCGAGAGGGGATCTAGGATTTTCTCTCGAGGGGATCTAGGATTTTCTCGGGGGGGGGGGGGGCTTTCTGCGCCGCCGGCAAAATTTTGAAAAAACAGGCCAAAAAAGGCGTTTTTAGGCAATTTTTGGAAATTTTGACCAAAAAAACGCGTTTTTTCGGCGCGCGCTCCCGCCTCAAAATTAGTATATACTGGCGACAAAGGCGCCTTTAGAAAAATATTACGGTCCGTCACCAAAAATGGATTTCTCAAAATATCTCAATGAAAATAATTTTCTTTGAAGGTTCTTTAAAAAAAATTGATTATTCGCAATATAATTTTTTCGACTTTTTTAAAGGACCTTTTTTGCGAGAATTGCATATTGTCGCATGAGCGTGGATACCGACTCATATAATATATATGAGAGAAATTGCATGAATCTTGCCTGTTTCAGTGCTGGCTGCGTCCGGTGGTGCTGGTCAAATTGGCGTGTTGGCTCTTACCCAACCCATGGGCACCAAGGCTGTCCACTACAACACCTACATCGAGAAGACACAAGGACACCTCAAGAGAGTGGGCAATGAACAAGATAGAATCAGGTTCAATCTCATCTTATGCCTATTTGCTCTAAACCTCAAAACCATTTTAAAAATATCAAATTTAAATGGCAATCGATAATAAGTGATGTTTTTAAGACGCTGAGTTTTCTGCGAGGTGCTGGTTTTCAACGTGAACTTGGGTTTTATTGAAAGAAAAAAACTGATCGGTATTCAAGAGTAAAATCCTTGCAAAAAACTTTTTTGCAAAGTTCTTCAAAGCAGTTTTACTAGGTTTTGCATAGAAAAATAAAGCGTTTGTGACTTTGTTGTTAACAGGGTGCGTCTGTGGGCAGACTTAGCGAGGACTGCGAGGAAGCAGGGCGTGTGGGACATCTGCCGGGTGGCATGTCGTTTCTGCATGCTCTACGACGACAACAGATGGCAGGTCGCGCCCAAGCAACCGGACGACACTAAGGCCAGCAAGTAAGGCCGCCAGGCATGATCTGATCATCATTCAAAAACTCCAAGTTTCTAGGCTCCAATTTAATCCTTTTTTAAACCGGGGATTCCTTTTTATGTTAGTTATCTTTATTGAAAAGTCATTTTGATACCAATTTTTTCTAAGTATTATTGATTTAAGCATCTACGAGACGTGTTGATACAGTTGCTGTCTATGAAAAATCGAATTTTTCCAAAATGAGATCGTAAATATATTTTTTTTAGCTATCAAAACGGTTAACAATCACTTTTGAGTCTGAGTGTAATGTACAGCATTAAGAGCATTGGTAAAAATTTCTGGTATACAATCTGAAGTGATACATTGGTTAGAGGAGAACGTGCTATGATAAATAAATTGAATCAATTCAGTAAAAAAAAATATATATATATGCGTTTGAGATGTTGTTGCGTTTGAGATATTGAGATATAGGCGTTTGAGAGTTCAAAATAATGTTTTCAGCTATCAGCTCCAAAAAATAAGAGAAACTCAGGAGTTGAAATTACATGAACAAGTAGCAAATAAAGCCAAACAAAATGACAACAGGGTCTATGAAATAATTTTATTTTAAAACTCCCAGATAATTCCTAGCTTTTTGCTCGCTTGCTTAAATTATTGCTGTGGATGTATTCTAGTGCCAATTTTGGCTCCAAGAAGGCTGCTGCTTCGTTCCAAGTGAATGCAGCAGTTTCTGTTCTCGTCCATAAGCAGTGGTAAATTTGGTTAAATTTGGTATTCGAGTAGACTAAACTTCGAAAGAAGAATTTATGTTTTAGTCATTTTCATGCAGAACTGATTTTTGAGTTAATTACTAACAAACAAAGGAACCAGATAGAATTAGGTTAAACTATACCTGTGTAATGTCATGGTGGCAAAGCTAACCTAGTTATAATGTCGTGGCAGGGAGGTTAAAATACAGAGCAGCAAAAAGATGACAGTGTCAATAGCTAATCAGTCGGCTACTCTCTCTTCGACCAATCACAACACGGCATCAACGACGAACCAATCTAACATAGGGTACCAACTCTCATAACCCTCAAGGGTGGCGTCCTTATGATGGAGGGACCGAATGTTGCATTTTTTTTCCAATTATTTTAAGTGTATCAGAACTAAGTATTCAAAAATCTCAAAGAAATCTCGAACAGCTCAAAGTTAGCAAATGAATCCAGACCAAAAAATTTAATAATGATCGATTACAAAATAGGAAGATTGCAGATACATGAATTTTTAAACATTGTCAGATCAAAGACGCATTGGAAAAAAATATAATTTTTCTTAGATACCAATTTGAAAAAGTTTGAAAAACAACGCACAAAAATTATTGAATCTGAGCGGATTGTGCAAATAACATGTAACATGTACAATCTGTGCAGTTTTCAAATTTACGTGAATCGGCATCTAAGAAAAATTCATTTTTTGATAGGTTTGACTTCCGCTTAGTGCTAAAACCATTCAACGATTAGGAATTTTTCCTTATTCTGATTTTTTGAATTTTTCCATCAGTCGGTCCCTTCATCATGAGAATAGCCCCATCCGCAAGCATCATTCTTCTCAATTGCGGCAGTTTTGTTTGTAGTCAACCTATGGAATAAAACCCCAATACTTTTGATCAAAAAACCATTACTGCTCACGAGGCTTTGAATGTTTGGATTGCACTGGAAGGTGTGAAAAGTAGTATTTACTACAACGGAGCGTAGTGTTATTTTGCGAAGTCATCTTTTTCGAATCCAGGTGGCAAATAAAAGTGCTCATTTCGTGGCACTTTTGCAGCAACCGATTTATTTCTGGTATGCTTTTGTTGCATACGCTGCATTTAGACTGGTTTGCTTATGCTGCATTTAGACTTTTTTTTGGATCTCATTTATTGGGGGCTAGTCTGTTAAGATTTTTAAGCGACCATGGTGCAGATAATATGGCGTGCAAGTTTTTATTTCGGGTTTCGATTACGGCACATAGCAGAATTTTTGTTAGTTTTACATCTTTTTTTTCCGGTCATTTTAGAGCTTTTTTCAAGCGCAGTTTTGTCTGTGTTGATTATATTTTTCCATCCTCGCAATTAATATTGAATGTTGAGTGATATAGTTTGCATTCAGAAGCGAAAAATTTGACCAATTAGTTTTCCACTAATCAATTTGGAATAATCATTTAAGCGTGGATTAATTCGCCGCGCTCAAACAACTCGAGTCTGAGCGATATGCATTAAAAATAGATATAAAGCGCGCCTGATTTGTTGTGTTAGCGAGCGAAGCAATAATTTATTTTTAAGTCGTATGAAATCAAAAAATATTATTGAAATTCAAAGAGCTTTAATGTTAGCTTTTCTTTTGTTTTCGTGGAGGTTTTTCCAATTGACTATTGGATGCGTTTTTAAGAATCGATGAATGTAGTGGAGACTCTTATATAGGTCGCCATGATTTTTTCAGGGAAAAACTTAAAATTTGTTCCGGCTCAAAATTGATTTTTTGCCTGTTGACTTTTGATTTTTTCTTAATTCAGTTCTTTTCTTTTTTTAAAAAAAGGTTAACAAAAGCTTCAAGGTCACTGCTTCACCTAATTATAATGTCGTGGCACTAAAATTAGCAACCGATTTCAAAAATAAACAAGAATAGTCAGCAACTGTGCAAGTAGCACAGAATGTTCCGACCATAGTCTTTAGAAAATTACGGTTTAGATAGTTTTTTTTTCCAAATTAGTGTAGTTTTTTCTGCTTGGTGTGATCTGACTTAAAATTATAATTTCGGTATATTAGACAGTCATAATGATATAGGCAAATTGGAAAAAAATTTATGTAGAAAAATGACTGAAAAAACTTTAAAAAAAATTTTTTTTTCAAATTTTTTTTGCAAAAATTTTTGGAAGTTTTTGGTTCCCTAAATGAAGCTAAAAACTCCAAAACTAGCTTTATTGCATAAAATTAAGTTTTAAGGTCCTAAATAAAGGCATGAATTAGGCATTTCAGTTGTTGCAAGCCTGCTCGCTTGCTTTATTCGCACGAATTAAGACGAAAAATCAAAAACTTCAAACCGGTTTTACTCGACACTAGAAAAAAACGTTGGGAATTTTTAACGTGGTTCGAATCACGTCTGAAAGGGCTTTAATGTGATTTATCACTCAACCCAGCCCGATGATTATCTTGCCTGTTCCTGATTTTGCTTGGAAAACGAAAAGAAAAATAAACTAAAATACTTTAATTTGCCTTACGAGGCCAAACTGTGCATTTTGTGAATTGTAAGCAGATTCCGCAACAAGGATGCTCCCTTTGTTCTTCTTTTTTTCTTTCATTTTGTTTGATCGTTCCTATAGGTCTGATAGGTTCCGAATACAAAGTTCCTCCCCAATTTCAATGGTCGGAATAACTAGTCACTGATTCGAATTTCGCTACGAGCGAGTTCTGAATGATTCCGAATATAATTTTTGACGTATGCATAGAAACCTAACGCTGCAAGCATTTAATGTTGCAAGCAAACAACCTGATAATAAATCATTATAGTGTGATCATTATAGTTTATTTTACTTACACTTCACAATAGTTGCACAAAACTATCATTAGACGTTAAGTAATTTCTTTGAGACATTAATGTATGTTAACTAGGAAAAAGCTCAAGTAAGTCATTCGCACTTCAAAAATCCACCGATTCATGTCTTTAGTCATAGTTTATGTTATCTAATTATTTCAAACAATTAGTAGAATGTGTAAAATTCCATGCACTACCATGATTACCAATATCAAGAAATAGCGATTTAAAATGAATGCCAAGTAGTCGTCTTGGTTCGAACAAATTGATGAAGTTTTTCGTAAAATCCTCCTAAAATGTTTTTCGTAAAATGTTTCATCAAACCTATCACATCAGCATAGAGAATCATTTCAGGCGTAAACAGACTGAAGCTGCTGGTCCCGCTGCGGCCCTCGGTGGCGAAAATGCGGGGGGTGCGCCGGGTGGCAGCGGTAATGCTAGCCTCGGCTCTGCTAAAAGCGAGAACAGTAATGCCGCTAATGAAGGGTAATGACTTGACTGTGCAAACTAAATAAAGCACTCGAAAAGACTAACAAAACCTGACTGCAAATGGATAGGGTCGAAGCTTTTGACTGGGTTTTGTCCAGCAGTACTTGACAATTTCAACAGCTCTAAACCAAGTTCTCGCGTTAAATTGATCTTAACAATAATTCAATTTTTTTTTCTCTCAATTTATAGTTTCACATTGAAATTTACAACTAGCCTTGCTGACGTAATTCTACACGCGTAGACTGTCTGAGTCTGTTCTTTGGTATTTGACCTTGACAAGTTGACTGTTGTTGAAACTTTGCAGGCCTGCAGGCGACGACAAGGCTCCATTAGGCAGTCACACCAACCTGGACGATGACAGGCAGGCGATCGTAAGTGGGGCAATGGGGGGTGACTCCAAGCAGGGCAAGAAGAGTGACGATGATGAAGACACCATAGGTAGCAGTGCGGGAGTGACCAAGTCTACCCTCTACGACAAGGATCTAATGAGGATTCTTGCCGAGACTAGTTTCATCTACGGAGAGGTAGGGATCACTCGTTATCGAAAAAAAATCAATTTTTGTTTCGACTTTTGTGATGAAGTAACGGATTATTTGAGTTCGGGGTGTTTTTTTTTCGACTAATTTCGACTTTTTAACTAGCCATTTTTGGCGGAATTTTTTAACATCATTCAAAAAGTTTTGTTGTCCTGAGCTTAAATTCAAAAAGATATTTCACCTGTCATTATTTTTTGTAAAGTTATGGGGGTCTAAAGATTGCCAGGTTGGCCAATCTGGGACAATTAGCGCGCGATATATTTCGCGCTATTAACGCGTAAGCGGAAATTTAATCCGTTTTAGAAATTGTTCCAAATTTATTGAGGGAAGATTATTTGCCATAATTGATTTGTCACTAGGAATGTGGGCATGCTAATTGTCCCAGATTGGCCAATTAGCACGCCAATGTGGGCGTGCTAATTGTCCCAGATTTTTATTTGAGATTCCTTAAAAAATCTCAAATAAAAAAAATTGTTTTATTTTATTACATTTAATTTTTTTCATGTTATTGCTGCTCCATAGACCTTAAAAGGCAGTCGGAACATTCAGGGCTTCGCTCTGATACAAGCAGTCCTGTTTTTTTTTCAAGTCAAGTTCTTTTCCTGCTTTCACCCTCATTTTTAGAAAATTTCAAATAAACAGGTGATATGTAAGCTGTAATTTGCGATAAAATTGGCCTGGCCAACAGTAGCGGGTTTAGAGGGTGGGTGCAAGCAGTGTCTTACTTCCTTAGGGAACTGAACCTTCACCATACCGAAGGGCCCTACCGTTGATAATGTTAAACGATTTTGGTCGAACGACCTGTAAAATGGTCTCAAATAGTGATTTCGGCGCTCCTCCCCGCCTCTCAGGAATGTTCTCGGTCCGCGCCTGGTGATGAATAAATAAGCCCTATTGAATGCATTTGTTCTTCAAACCATCTCTCATTTCATTGTGGCTCCTGCGAATTGCAGATGAGCTATCAGTAGGACTTAACAGCCCTGTCTAAGGATAGTCAATTTGTATTTAGTTTAGTAGCTTGTAAAAGCATTTCTATCACGGGAAATGCAGAAGAGAGAAAAATCAGAAGTCGAATTTGCTAACCATACTTTCTGTAGGCTTTGATGCAGTTGATAAGGAGTGAGGGTCTGGAGTTGAATGACATGAAGAGCTACCCTGATGACAAGAGCAAGCGACCAAAAGGCTACGTTCCACCCAGACCAGACCAAGACAAAAACTGGATCGAATACACGTCAGTAATACTAACATCAGTAGCATAAAGCAGCAGCAAAGTGGTTAAAAAATCTAAAATCTTTCAAATGTATTTTTTTCATTTGCTTTGATTGCATTGAGCTATATAGCATAAATAGAAGCAAAAAAAGTCCTGTGAGTCAATATTTATCAGCAAAGAAACAGTTTCAATTGAAGTTTTGGTAGTTCTGTATGGGTATGATTGCGGTTGAACATATTATGAATATTTTTTCTGCTATTGCAGCAACTGGATCTCGAAACTGCACTCGTTAGTGACGCAGTCGTTCCTGCGTGCATCTGACATTGGGGTGGAGCTGAAAGAGCCCTGGATAGTGCAGTCAGCTGTGGCCTATCTGTGGAACTACAACAACCACATTCTCTCCTCAAACAGACACTGCGAGATCACCCAGCCTTTCGAACATCTCTACGAGTGCCTCAAGGAAGTTGGCTTCGACAAGTTAGTCCTTGAAATGTTGAAACAACTGCAAAAGTAGGGAGGAGGGGTTTGATTAAGGATATAGAAATCATAGAGAATAACAATGCACTGAATTGATTCCAGGATTGAATTCAAGCCAAGTCAAGCTGATGGGATTTGTATATTATTAAGGGTCGATGAACGAAGTGAAGACACTTATTAGTTCGTGTGATTTGAAGCGTCAATGAATGGTCGTGCTGTTTTTTTCCGTTTTTTTTTGGAAAAATACCTAAAATTTCACACTCAAATTTGACTTTGCGCGGTATGACTTTAAGTTTTTTTAAAGTTCAGTCAGTTCATTTCCTTCGTTTAGACAAGCATAGCTTGCCCTTGTGTTATAGTATGAACTCTCTTTTTTTCCAACCTAAGTCGCAAATTTTGTTGCGATGCAATTGTTGCTACAAAATGTGTTCATTTTGAAAGTATTCATTTTGATCCAGTTATTAAGTACAGCCAATGCTAAGGATATTACCACAGACCATTATATTAAAAATAGCACATAAGCTTTAAGGTATCATGGATCTGTAGCGTAGAGGTAGGGAAGGAAACCAGCAAAAAAAATAAGAGAGTTCGAATTTGGGCAGGGTAGGATGTTTTTAATGAACTTTTTCGGATACTAGTTAAATTGCGTCTGCTCTATAAATTGAGGCATGTTAGTTGGTAAATTTGGTTTTTTTTTAAATTGACTGGTACTGCTAATTCTTCATAATTGGCTTGCGTCACTTACCAAATATTGAGACTCATAATTGGCGTGCGTCACTTAAGAAATTTTGTAGACTCAAAGTTGTGCTCATTCAGTTTTTCCCAGTAGCGTTATCGGTCATATTTTTGCTTGCGTATGAGAACTGCAACTTCGTCTCTGTGTTAAAGTAAAAAAACTTCCTTATCGAACGGCAAAAAAGTACAGGTCACGAAAAACGTGAATGGTTTCTAGTTTCAAAACTGGACTTCATTCTACTGAACTCCCAGCTGAATAAAAAAATCTACCTATTGATCCAGTTTTCTCTAAATGGAATGATCTACAGAAAAAACCCAATCATCAGCAATTCTTGAAATTCAAAGATTTTTAACGTGATAGTTTTTTTCTTTGAAATTCAAAGTTTTTTTGAGTTATTTTACACTATTCCAAACTGTTGTCTCTGTTTCAGATTATCAGTAAGTCAGTCTTTTCTTTCGATTTCCTTGAGTTCCTTGACCTTTTTCTTTTTCATCTCAATTTTTTTAGAAAATTTTTTTTTGCGCTTCAAAATCATTTGCTAAATGGAAATAAGTTTAGGCTCAGCAATAACAAAAGTACTAAGTTTTGAAAGACTTCAAGATTCAAAAATGAATAAAAATTTCGAACTTTCGCGGCGGAATATAAAATTGTCTATTGATCCTGTTCTCAAATTAGCTGATTTTTTTTTTTAAAAAGTTCTTGCATCAAATTTTTTTGAAATTAAAACAGTCTTTTTCATAACAGTGGTCTCATAGTCGATTCTTTGACATGATAGCGGCAGACTGAGCTTCAATTCGCTAGCTTGCAACTTTTACTTTTCAAAACTTGTTCCGATGACTATGGCGGAGAGTTGTGTCTTTCTGTCTTGATTTTTCTGCCTCAAAAAATGTTGTGAGATTCAAGTGAGGTATATTATTTTGAAGACCTTTCAGTCGTCATTTGGATTGCAGAGAGAACTTTTTGAAAATTTTCTCGGTTGCCGGAAAACTGGTCTGAAGTTCACTTTTTGCGATCCAGAACCAAGCGTAGTCAAGAGCGAATAATTTGGCTTCATATCTATGAACTGCTTCCAGTGATTGAAAGTAAAATACTTAATTAGTTTGCGTTTGCTTCAAAAGCTTTTTAGACAAGCAAAGCGTAATCCAGCACGATATCCACTTTTTTAAAACCAAGTCTCTAATAAAAGTGCTTATTTTTGGTGGCACTTTTGTGGCAATAACATTATATTTGGTCTTTGTATCTGGTTTATTGGCGGCTAGTACTTACGCTAGCGACTAGGAAGATTTATCAAACCGGAGTATAGACTTTTCAGGTTAACAACTTGTGTAACAGAATCAGTTGTAACTTGGTACACAATGAATTCAAACTTCTATGCATTCCCGGCCAACTTAGCCTCGAGGTACCGAATATGCCCGGTACGGCAAAGCTGCTGAATTCGAAACTGATCAGGATCTATTTTTTTTTTCAAATCTGTTTCAAATAAAATAGTCGGTCTATTATTTGTCTGCTTATCTGTTGTCAGCTTAGTTGTCACTTCTTGGAATCGTTTTTTTTCTCCGCGCTATTTTCTTAAATTTTGCTTTAGTTTTTGATTTACTCCAACAAATTGTAATTTTACTTGTCCTGATTTCGCATTTCTTTCATTGTTTTTTTGTTTTGATAAAAAAAATGCCTCGACCCAAATTATTTCGGCCTATTTTTTGTAGGCCTAGTGACCTAATTTTGGGTCGTTTTAGGGGGAACAGATTTTAACACCCCACTTTGCACTTTTATATTTGGTTGTATGTTACTTTATGGAAAATAGTTTATTGGAAATTTTTTTATTTTTTTCAGAAACTTTTAGTGATTTTCAAAAAATTGAATCTGTAGGCGGGAATATTTGAGCCATAGTTCTGATTTTTTCTTTTTTTTCGAAAACTATCCCCCTCAAATCTGAGTTTTTGGTTCGTTTCAATGAATTAAAAAAGCTTGGAAAAGCTCCTTGCATGAGCGGCTACGCCTAAGCTTTTTACTCATCAATTTATGACCCTCGGAATCATCAGATTTTTGATTTTGATCATTTCTTAAACTTTTTGAAAATTCTGAGATTTTGATTTTAATTCAAAGAACGGGTTGTGAGGAGAAGCTCATTCGCATATGCGACTACCCCCAAAATTGCTGACATCGAAAGTTATGGCCCACGGAAAAGGCAACATTTTGATCTTTTGACCTTTTTTTATAGTTTCCTGCGAACTACCCTCTCAACTCTGAGATTTTAAATTGAATCGAAATTTAAGGTTGCGTTAATCCCTTCTGCATAAGTGGTTGCGCCATAATTTTTCTACACAGAAAGCGATAATTCTCAAAATGTCAAACTTTTGATTTGCTGACCGTTTTTTGGACTTTTCTCGCTGGCTATCCTGCATTATCTGATATCAAAGTTTTAATTGAAACAGCTTGTTTTGAAAGCCTTCTTTTTATAATTGGCTATACCCAGTTTTTTTATGAAAAAAGTTATGGTCTGCAAACAAGCCGAAATTTGTTGACGCGAAAACTACCGTTTAATGACGCGAAGTTTTTTGGCGCGAAAACTACCGTGACAATTCTCAGGAGATGTTCGATCAATAAACCCCGTTTTTGGGAATCTTTTCTGCTTGAGCGGCCAAATAGATTTTGGAAAGTTTCTCAATCCTTTTATAGAACTTATGACCGTTTTTCAGAAATTTTGTAATTTTTTTTTTAATTTACACAATCAGATCTTAGATGAAAAGTTCAAATGAACGAACCGGTCGCGATAATTGTTCCTGCAGAAACGGCCACTCCTTACTTTTTATAAGCAAAATTTTATTTTTGGGAAGATTCCAATTATCACTCTTCTCACTTGTTTTAGCAGAGAAACTACTAAGGTTTAGATAAAAGATGTTTTGAAATTACTAATTTCATTCAGCATTAGTATAACAAACTCAAAAATATCAAACCTTTAGCTCTAGCTGGTCACCTAGTTATCTTTTATCGAGGCATACGAAATTTTTGTTCACCTTGTGTCTTTCAACATTTTTCATTTTTTTCACTTCGCCTCTGTGTTGAATAGAGCGCTCATGGCACAGATGATAGTACGTGTGACTTTAAATCTCCAGGTCGGGGGTTGATTCCGGCACATAGAAGATTTTTTGTAGTTTTGCCCCTTTTTTTACTTTTGACCTCTTTTGAGCTAAATTTTGCCGTTTTTTCTTCGTTTTTGCGAAATTGATAATCTGCGACTCTATCGGCCGTAGAGATATTCACTTAAAAGTTAACATTTTTGAACTTTGAATGTCAAGTGAAAGGACGACACTTAGTTTCGCTTTATAGTTTCTGTTTCAAGAAATGTCTGAACTTTTGATATCGCTTAAATTTGATTTTTGACGACCTAACTTTTCTATCTTTATTCAAATTAATTTGCTAACAAGCGCGAAAAAGCGTGAATATCTTTTTGTTTTAAAAATTGAATTTCACTTTCAAATTCGGGGCGGACTAATGTTTTGTCCAGTTTTCTCTTTTAGGGCTAGTGGTATGAAAAAAGTGTCAATCATAAAATGCTCTTGAAATTTGAAGATTTAAGGTGATAAACATTTTTTCTTGAACTCGAAAGTTTTAATAAAATTCATCACTATTTTTCGGTTTTCTTGAGCTTATTGACTCTTTTCTAATTTTCTTTTGGCTTGTGTGGTTATAAAATGCTGTGCGACAGAACTATCATGTTTCCTGTATCGCTTGTTTTTGTTTTTCTCCCTTTTTTAGGTTTTCTTTCCATTTTGGTTTTTCTTCCCTGTTTAGGTTTTCTTTCCATTTTGGTTTTTCTTCCCTTTTTCTTTAATGCAATTTTGTTTTCTCTGCTAACCCAACCTGCATAAAATAGTTGTGTTCATTTAATAATTTTTTTGCTGCTTAGCATTGGTATTTTATCCGCCTATGTTTGGTTCGATTTGTTGGCTCTTTTTCACTCGTCCCCACTTATTTCAAAATTTCCGTTATTAGCGTACTTTACGTACCAGTATGGCTGAATGCGTTACTTATTGCTGTTTAGTTGCTGTTTAGTGTGAAGAATAAATGTTTAGAATAGTTAAATTGTTCACCATGCAGAATTTCATTACATCATATCAACGTTGATTTAGTTTTTTTATTTGAAATTTAAATGTGGCTGGAAGTGGAAAAGAGCCGATATGCTTTTTTGGCGGCTTGTGTTAACATATTTTGAGCGCTCAATGTTAGACTCGTAATATCCAGGTCGGAGGCTTGATCCTGGTAGTTTTTTTTTAAAAAAAATTTCAAAGCTTTTTCTATTTAAAAAAAAATCTTTTCGGAGCTACTTTTTGCCGATATCTTGCTTAATAACAATTGTTCGCGAAGGGCAGCTTCGCCTGCGTAGAAATTTATGAAGTTATTATCTGAAATAAAAAAAAATTAACTGAAATAAAAAAAGTTTTGTATTTAGCAAAGCACCAATGCTGGTAAATCTCTGCACTGCCTTGGCCACCGGTCTGATCTCAAACTGGATGCCCAAGCCAGTTGCGAGACCCAACACAGCCAGCACCATCCGTCTAGGATCTGGGGGACTTAAGAAGGCTGCAGGTGGTCAGAAGGGAGGCGGAGGCGCCAATCCGAAGAAGGATGAGAGTGTGAAGTTGAACATTGAACCCAAAGGAATGGAGGAGATCAAAAAAGCCATCGCGGTTCGCTGCTGTTCCTAACATTTAAATTTTTTATCAATCAACAAACCTTTTTTTGAGCATGTTTGCTTTTTAACTACCCCTTGCATTCGAATAACGTGTTGTTTTATGTTGGTTAAGAGTAATGAATTTAGTGAGTACACTTATACAGGTCTTGCTGATTTTTTTTGTTTTTGTTTTTTTTTTCAGGAAAAAGTCATAAAATTTGCTCACGCTCAATTTTGATTTTTCGCGGTTTGACTTTTTTTAAGTTCAGCTCATTTTCTTTGTTAAAAGGAAGGCAAACTCCACTATCGAACAGCAAAAGTGTAAAGGTCGCGAAAAACGTGATCGACTTCTGATTTCGAAAATGGAAATTAATTATCAGATTTCCCAGCGAAATGAAAGTTTCACGTATTGATCCAGTTTTCTCAAATTAGATTAATTTTAACAAAAACTGTCCATCATCAAATTCAAAGAGCTTTGAGGCCATCTTTTTTCTTCGAAATTCAAAAGTTGAAGGCTCTTGAAAAACAAGTCAGTTTTTTTTTTAGTTTCCTTGCGTTCATTACTCTTTTCCAACTGTTAGTTGGCTATGTTTGTTAATTTACCAAGTCCGACTTGGTATAATTTCAGAATTTTCGTTTCTCGTTTTCTATTTATTTGGATTAAAAAGCTTTCGACTTTTTTATATCGGATTAGTGGCCTCATATTGTTTTTTTTTTGCGTCAGTATTTTGTGGTAGGAGAGAAAAAACTAATCAAAAAATATTCAAAAACAAGCAGCTGGTAAAATTGAAACAAAAAAAATGTTTTTATTTCAATTTAAAATAATACAAATTGCGAGAGCAAGTGTCTTGTAATCAGGAACTAGACTTATCTCTCTATACAACTTTTCATACTAGTCTGTAAAAGATAAAATTTTTGAAGTTAGTGGTTTTCATCTCATTTTGTATAAGCTAGCTTGCAATGCCATTCTTGCGTTGTATCGCCAGCTTTGCTTCACCTGTAGTGGAATTTTTATTTTTTACTCTTGGTATGATGAAATCGTTTGAAATCATTATCTGACAGCGAAATGTATTAAGAGTTCATTGGCCTGGTTTCAGTTTGTCAAATTTGATTTTGTGGTACTCATGAAGTACTCTGATTTTCTGTTTCCGTTATTTTTACGCCCAATCTTTGGTCCACGTTTGGTACTTTTTAAGAAATCCATTTTTGAATGACCAACTCTAAAATTTTTCTAAAGGCGCCTTTGGCGCCAATATGTACTAACTTTGAGGGGTAGCCCGCGCCAAAAAAAACGCAGTTTTTTTTACCTGTTTTTTTCAAAAATTTGGCTGCGGCGCGGAAAATTTGGCCAAAACAGCGTTTTTTAGTGCTTTAGGAGGGCTCGGAAAATCACGCTCAATTTTGATTTTTCGCGGTTTGACTTTTTTTAAGTTCAGCTCATTTTCTTTGTTAAAAGGAAGGCAAACTCCACTATCGAACAGCAAAAGTGTAAAGTCGCGAAAAACGTGATCGACTTCTGATTTCGAAAATGGAAATTAATTATCAGATTTCCCAGCGAAATGAAAGTTTCACGTATTGATCCAGTTTTCTCAAATTAGATTAATTTTAACAAAAACTGTCCATCATCAAATTCAAAGAGCTTTGAGGCCATCTTTTTTCTTCGAAATTCAAAAGTTGAAGGCTCTTGAAAAACAAGTCAGTTTTTTTTTCAGTTTCCTTGCGTTCATTACTCTTTTCCAACTGTTAGTTGGCTATGTTTGTTAATTTACCAAGTCCGACTTGGTATAATTTCAGAATTTTCGTTTCTCGTTTTCTATTTATTTGGATTAAAAAGCTTTCGACTTTTTTATATCGGATTAGTGGCCTCATATTGTTTTTTTTTTTGCGTCAGTATTTTGTGGTAGGAGAGAAAAAACTAATCAAAAAATATTCAAAAACAAGCAACTGGTAAAATTGAAACAAAAAAAAAATGTTTTTATTTCAATTTAAAATAATACAAATTGCGAGAGCAAGTGTCTTGTAATCAGGAACTAGACTTATCTCTCTATACAACTTTTCATACTAGTCTGTAAAAGATAAAATTTTTGAAGTTAGTGGTTTTCATCTCATTTTGTATAAGCTAGCTTGCAATGCCATTCTTGCGTTGTATCGCCAGCTTTGCTTCACCTGTAGTGGAATTTTTATTTTTTACTCTTGGTATGATGAAATCGTTTGAAATCATTATCTGACAGCGAAATGTATTAAGAGTTCATTGGCCTGGTTTCAGTTTGTCAAATTTGATTTTGTGGTACTCATGAAGTACTCTGATTTTCTGTTTCCGTTATTTTTACGCCCAATCTTTGGTCCACGTTTGGTACTTTTTAAGAAATCCATTTTTGAATGACCAACTCTAAAATTTTTCTAAAGGCGCCTTTGGCGCCAATATGTACTAACTTTGAGGGGTAGCCCGCGCCAAAAAAAACGCAGTTTTTTTTACCTGTTTTTTTCAAAAATTTGGCTGCGGCGCGGAAAATTTGGCCAAAACAGCGTTTTTTAGTGCTTTAGGAGGGCTCGGAAAATCAATTTGGCCGACCTAAAAAAGGTCGACAAAATTTTCGAAAATTTTTTGAAAATCCGCCCCCCCCCCCTCGAGAAAATCCTAGATCCGCCCCTGAACACTGGCATATTTTTTTTTATAGTTTTTTTTTGTATTCGCCTCTGTGTAAAAGAAAGCGGGCAAAACAGACACTGAGAAAAAACTAAGTTTCGAGCACTCATTTAAAAACTGCTTGTCAGCATGAAAATAAAGATGACGAAACTTCCTATTAATCCAGAAATTGTTTTTTTTTAAATAGTTTAGGCAGTTATTCTGGTGTTCTATCAACAATTTGGTACCTGCCGTGAATTTTTCTGTCGTATGGATGTATAAAACTGTCGTGTGATTTCAAAGAGTTGCAGTTTTTGAAAAAAAATTTCAATCGCACTTTTGCTACCTGGCATTGGAAATTTAACAGCATACAAGTTTAACTGGATACTGTTTGCAGGTTTTTGAGAGATCATGACATAGATGCGTTGAAGTAATACTAGAATATCCAGGTCAATGAATCGATTCGGGAACATTGCAAAAGTTTTGAATTGCAAACAAATTTTGCCTTTTCTTTCTTCATTTCGTATTTATGCATTTTAGAGCCGTTTTTTGCCGTTTTCTCGCTTTTGTTGGCGAAGTGGAGCTTCGCCTTTGTGTTACGTATATTGAATTTGATTGGTTTTCAGATCTGTGACTTTGCGATCAAGATGACTAGTGGCGACGGAGGAGGAGTGGGGGCTGTTAGAAACGAGGTGGCCATCAGTGTCCGCCAGCCCCTGCTCAATGTGTGGGTGCAGGCCAAGCAACTCGCATCCACCTCCATAGGAAAAGGACTGGGATGCGACGATGATGTGAGTTTTAATTTAGCAGTCTAATTGTCGTTCGCTTATGATGACATAACACAAAGTTGTGACGGTAGAACAAATAAAAACCATATTCTATAAGTTTTATTTTCGGGAATCGAAGCAGTCTGAGCTTAATTTAACCCTAAAAGCTTTGAACAAAATTTAAATTTTTTCTCAGGCATCCAGCAGTAAAAAATGGGTATGTACTTATAAATTAAAACTCTCAAACTTTCTGTTTTTGCTACTTCAAAGAGCATCTGAACAAAATAATTTGACCTACATTATTTTGTGTTGCCTAATTTTATGGTCTCTGCTTAGCTTATCGAGCAACTCTAGAAATCTCTCTTAATTGATTGCCTCTTTCAGTTTTCTCTGCAACTGCGCCAATTGTATGCCCAGGGTTCTAAACCTAAATCGAGTGTAAGGGCAGCAAAGGTACATGAAGCCATTGATTAAACTACAGTTCAAAACAAATCATTTTCGAAATCACTATTAGTTTCCAGTACGCTTCATAGAATAGTTTTTCAAATTTTCAACTGAGATAAATGTCATTTAAGCCTTCCGGCTTGACCAAAAATGGTTGTCATACAATTTTAATATATGAAAAAGTGCTTATCATACAATTTTGTGCAATTTTTTAAAAATCATACAATGCATTTTTTTCGAAAAAATACTTATTTGAGTATGAACGGGATATTGTGATTATAAATTGAGAAAACAAATTTCACTGAAATTTGGATTTTGTTTTTCGGAAATTTTCTTGCGGCAAGGTAAAAAATGCTTATCATACAATTTTAATTTATGGAAATAGTATGATAAACATTTTTTCCATGCATTCAGTGTATGAAAATGTATGATCAGCATTTTTTTATATGTAATTGATGGAATTGTATGATAAGCATTTTTCGTGTATGGAGGTTAACCCGGGCTCTTATGAAAAACTTTGGATATTGTTGTCTGTTCAATATAACTCAATTCTGGCTATTAAATTCATCGTTAGTTGAGCTCAATTGAGCAAATCTTAAATTGAAGTAGATTACGTGGTGGACTTTACAATAGGTCTTATATTACGCTTATAATTAGCAAGCATTATCTAATCGGAACTTGGACTTTTTCAGGTTAGCAAGTTGTCTAACATAATTACTGAATCGTTTCGCCAGCTCTTTTGTCAACTCTTACTTTGGCAATTGACAGACTTATTTTGAGCATGTTTGCTTGTTAATTTTCCGCGTTTTTTTTTCAAATTTATGAAAGAAGTGTTTATTCACTTTATCAATGAACAAAATGATGACATTTTTTTAAAAATAAGTAATTTTTTTGCGGTTTGATATTTGATTAAGAGTCGATGAACGTAGTGAAGACTCTTATAAACGTGGTACCGATGTTTCTTTTGGAAAAGTTTCAAAATGTAATTTTTGATTTTTTTTGTGGTGTGACTTTTAGTTTTTTTTGTAGTTCAGTTTGTTTGCTTTGTTCAACGGAAGGCAAACTCCACTATCGAACAGCATAAGTGTAAAAACCACTAAAATGTGATCAACTTCTAGTTTCTAATATGGAATTTAATTTTCAGATTTCTCAGCAGAGCAAAAATTATCAATTAAAACCAATATGTTCAATATACTTCCGTGCTTTATTTGAAAAATAAAATGCTTTTATGCATCATGTTTCCGTGTTTATTTTGATCAATCAAACAAACTAATTAGAAAGAAAAAAACTGCGTGTAGGCTTGAAAATTTTTTCATATGTGAAGGTTTTGTTTCTGTTTTACGCGCGCGTTTACCAGATAAGCAACAGCTCGGCTGCGTCTCTCGATTTGTGTCACGAATTTTCTGGATGCAATATTTAGCTGTTTTTTATTTAGTGCAAAAGTGAAAACCAAAAATGGTTCTATAAACTGAAAGAGATTTAAGGCCATCTATTCTTTTCTTTGAATCTCGAAATTTGATTTTTTAAAAAAGCAAAACAGTATTTTTTTCTGTTTTTTTTTGCTTCCTTGACACTGCTCCAACTGTCTTTTGGCTATGTTTTATTTTTCAGTTGAATTCAAATTCATTTTCTGAAAAAAAGCCAAAATGGGCTTTCCAATTACGAAAGAAATTATGGTGGTAAAAATCGGAACGAGTACTGGCTTCGAAGTTGATTTTAATTTTCAAATTTCCCAGAGCTGTAGGAAGAATTGTTTTCTATGACTGGGAAAAACCTATCATAAAAGGTTCTTGAATTTCAAAAAACTTAATGTTTTCTGCGAAATTCCAAAGTTGAAAATTGATTGAAATATATATATATATATATATATATATATATATATATATATATATATATATATATACAGGGGCGGATCTAGGATTTTCTCGAGGGGGGGGCGGATTTTCGAAAAATTTTCCAAAATTTTGACGACCTTTTTTTTTTTTTTAGGTCGACCAAATTGATTTTTCGAGCTCTCCCAAAGCACTGTTTTGGCCCTATTTTGGTAAAAATTTTCTGCGCCGCAGGCAAATTTTTGAAAAAACAGTCAAAAAAAGCCGTTTTTGGGCACTTTTTGAAAAATTTTGACAAAAAAATTTCGTTTTTTTTGGCGCGCGCTCCCCCTCAAAGTTAGTATATATTGGCGCCAAAGGCGCCTTTAGAAAAATTTTAGGGTCGGTCCGCCAAAAATGGATTTCCGAAAAAGTATCAAAGGGGGGACCCTTTGGGTCGGCAGGGGGTCGAATCCCTGAGGGGGGGGGGGCGTCCGCCCCCCCCCCCCCCTAAATCCGCCCCTGTATATATATATATATATATATATATATATATATATATATATATATATGTTTTTTTCGTTTTCCTTGAGACTTTTTCCTGCTGTCTGTTGGCTACGTTTATTTTTTTGTTTGATTGTAAATTTACCAGTTCTTATTATACAGATAATATCATTTATTTGTTTTCGGCTACCGGCTTTCGTCATTGATTGCCGTCTACGGCTAGCTTGTCATTCTATGTTTGTCTAGTTCCGCAAGTGATGCGAAGCTTCGCCTTGCTGCTGTGTAATGACTGAGGCTTGGAACTCTTAACTTGAAAAACAACAAGATAGTGTTTGCAGGATGCTGCAGAAGGTCAGAAGTTGGCCACTCGAGTGATGGTGGCGGTGGAGATGGCATTCCTCAACACGAACGGACTGTTCGAGTTCAAAGAGTGTCCATCCCTCAACGAGGCAAGTAAATATCGCATCTTAACCCGAATAAGTTATCGCTAATTTCAACTGTGTTAACTGAAGGCGTTTTTTGAACGACGAAGACACCACTTTAGAAAGTGTGATTTTATAAATCTCAAAAGTAGTTCACACTGAATTCTCACGTTAAGTTTATTTGCTAAGTTGAAGGCAAATGAAGCTCTCCAAGAACAAAAGCTCAAACGGACGGAAAAACATGAATGGTTTAGTTTAAAAAGTGATTTCAAATAATTTGAGTTTTTTTCAAGTGAGTTTTTGTGAACCATAAGGGATAGAGGACGGCTTGATCGTTTCTTTTTTTTGCAATATATTGATTTGTTTGCAAAATATGAGATATGTTGCTTTTTACAGTAAACTTTTTCCGCTGTAATTCTGGCACATATTTTGTATTGCAAGTCGTGTGAAACTCTGCTTACCTCTGTGCGGTTTTGTCGAAACTCAGAGTGGTCAGATAGTTAACAAAAAGGTTAATGCCGGAAAAATTACGTTTCATAAAATTACTGTCTCCTGGTGAATTCGTGCACATAGGTTATCAGATATCATGGGCCTAATTGACCTTTTAGCTATTCGCCATGAGTGCTGCCTGTAAATGGTCTGACCGAAACATCCAAGTCCAGATATGGGCACGACTCGCCGCCCTTGCTTACGACAGTCGGGACTTCAACCTGGCTCTAAAGTGCAGCGACCAGGCGTTCCAGGTGGAAGATGAACCCTGGCTGCTGAAGCTGAAGCGCAATGACCACTTCAAGTTCACAGTGTTTTATGAGATGTTGAGCAATGCAGCTTGTCTCAAGGGACAGTGTCTGCGACAGCTGATGCACGGAAACAACCCTATGCGACGACAGGCTTTGGAGCAGTTTTTGAATGCTTGCAAGCAAGTGTTTTGAACTTTTCCCATTACTGCCCTTGCATGTTATAGCCCCACTCTCCCATGCAAAAATCAGTTTGATGATGAGATAGCTTGTTCGTTACGAACTCTAGGAACCATTCTCGAAAAAAAGGAAATGAAAGTGAGTGAAAATTTGTGAACTGATATGGCGCTTAAAAAGATTGTCCGAACCCTTATTGGAACTGGGGTTATTGCGACCATAATTTCTTATCTACTAGACGTTCTCAACCTCTTCACCTTATTGTTTTTATAGCTAAAGTTATCGCTTCAAGTTTAAGTAAATCCTGTACAAGACTTATTATGACTTATACTTATAGTGATCAAAACTCTTTTGAAGGAACGAAAGCGAACCAATTGTAAACATCGTCTGTAGTTGTCCTTAGAATGCATCACCTTAAAAATATTTGCCAGTTCAATAATGAATTTTGCCCCGTCCTACCTTTCCTAATGGCAATTGATGCTTGAAACTCTTTGCTATCGTATCTTAATGTGGACAGCTGTAGAAATGTTTGCTACAAATGTTTCGTCTATTTGATAGATATGGAAAGAAGGCTCTGAATTATGACCTGGTGATGACTGCCGCCAGACACTACTGGAACACGGCCCTTCCTCTGGTGAACTCGAAGCTGGAGCGGGAACTGCTGCAGGATTCCCTTCTCACCATCCTCAAGTGCATCAACGCCACTGTCGACAGAGAGAAGGAGAGAATGGTGAGTACATCCATGGATCCACTTTCAAATCTAGATAGACCTTCATACTCCTTTGCTCCACTACATCCGCCTTTATCCGTTTTCAGTTTATAAACGATTTGTGGTTTTTGTATACTACGAAATCAGTTTTTTCCAGCTGAAGTAGCACATTTTTGTCTTCAATTGACGCGTTCGTTTTTTTAAAATAATATATGCTTTTAGTCCAGCGCTAAATTTTTATCGACGCTGAGGATATCAATACAGGCTATTTTCTGATCATCTGGAACATAATTTGTCCTGAGCTCGAAATAAGAAGATCTTTGACATGTGATCATTTGGCGTAAAGTTATTTGGCGAGGTTTGAAAACTGTCAATTTTATCAATTTGGGATAACTAGTTCCCGCTTTTTTTGTCAACGCCAAACTTACTAGAGTAATAATTCACTTGGAGTTTTTTTAGCCAGCTATTTCAAATGAAAGCAGACTGTTTTTCCAAGTAAACAACTTGTTCTACAGAATCACTATCGTTTGGTAGCTTGGTTCATATATACTTCAAATTCTTGGTTGCGTGTTTAGCCTGGAGGTAACACCTATGCATGGCGCTCCCAATGCGGATGGTGCGAATCTGGCGAAGGACCTGTTTTTTTTGAAAACAAAAAAGATCCTCCTGATAAAAATTAATTTTCGTATTATCATTTGTCTGCTTATGTTTGTCGGACGAGTTGCCAAAGAACGGATTTCCTCATGATTTTGATAAAATCAAGTAACGGTGCAGGTAATTGAGATCCAAGAAACTTGCAGAAAGTGTTGTTTTTCTGATAAACAGTATTAGGACAATTTTTGAAGTTTATGTTTTGTTTGCTCGTTCTCCCCTTAGTCAAAAGAATACATCGAATGGAGCATTGATCTAATTGCAATGTTTAAGAAAAAAAACGTTATGAATATAGAAAAAAAAACATAATTAATCAAAATGGCGCTATATCAAAATTGCTAAATGAACGGCAAATTAGACTTTTCAATGACCAAAGTGCGAATGGCAAAAAAATGTGAATTATTTACGCAAGCCAGCCAGTGAGAGTAGTGTCATATTGGGAAGTCTACTTTTTTCAACCTAACTCGCGAATAAAAGTGCTCATTTGGTAGCAATTTTGCGTTAATGCATATCATCGGCAATTTAATAGCAACTGTACATGCTTTTTTTGCTGGCGTTCTCGCATCTCTGTGATGCAGATGCGGGAACGTGAGGCTCCTAATCTTCAGGTCCGGGGATCAATTCAGGCGCAAGATTGAAGTTTCATTTCCGCAAAAACCGCTAAAACGAAAAACGGCCTGCGATATTAGAGCTTTATTGAAAAGTTTTATTTAGTCAATTTCCTGGGCTAATTTATGCACTTATTTATGATGCTCAGCGTTGAAGCGTGATTTATCTGACTGCGGCAAATTGATCCAAATTTTGAAATAGTCTCTTATTCCAAATTGATTTAACATAACTTAATTCGTCCTAATAATTTCCCTACTAGTTTCAAATGATGTGTTTCAGTACTTCTTTCAGTTGATTTTTTTCCGTGTTTTTTGTTTTGGGAAGAACTTTGTATTCGGGTGTTTTTGTTCTTTTTTCTACGCAAAAACAGCTACCGCAAAAAATCCTCGGAGAGATTTGAGTGATATATCATAATGAAGGTCTTTTAGTCGTGATTCCCAGTGCCGAGAAAAGCTGGTTTGAAATTTTTGATTTTTCGTCTAAATTCGAGCGAGTAAAGCGAGCGAGCACGCTTGTTTATGCTTGATTTAGGCCGTTTACAATAGCTTATTTATGCTTAATTTTATTTTTACTTAAACAAAATTAGTTTTTGGAGATTTTTTATGACATTTTGAGTATCAAAAATTATAAAATTTTCTGCAAAAAAAATTGAAAAAAGTTTCAAATTTTTATGTTTTTTTTTGTTTTTCTAGTCATTTTTCTTCAAAATCGGTATTCCGATTGTTTTTTTTGTATGACTGTTAAATATGCCTCAGTTTGTCAGAAAAAAAACGACACAAATTTTAAAAAAAAAATTGTACTTTTCTAAGACTGTGGTCGGAACATTCTGTGCTACTTGCACATTAACCGGCTAGCCTTGATTAAAATGTGTTTGTCTTATAAATAAAGTGTTTGGTACGTGTTAGGCGAAATCCTGTGACATACTCAGTATACCAAAATACTTTTTATATCTCCCTAATACGCAAATCTTCCTAATTCTATCCTGTTGTTTGTAATCGCAGCAAATCAATAAAGTTTTAGGGGATTTCGTACTGAATTATATGGTGTTTTTGGTAACATTGAATCACCTCTGCCGTTGTGCAGAAGTTTCCTACAAGGTGAAAAATAATTTAAAAACGTTTTTTGACTGCTTCACATTACCTTTAGTAAACGGCAATACGTTTAAGAAAATATACTTTTTATGACTATGAATTTAAGCTATATGTGTTATCCGACAATGTCTCGGATGAGTGGCTAACTTATATTACCATTTCTAACTCTGTGATCGACTTGTTCGTTGTAATTTTCAGGTCAATCAGAAAATTTTAAACCAAAGCGCACTGCAAGAGACGAAAACATGGCTCAAGGTAAAGGCTAGAGTGTGTTTTCTTTTGAGCGTGTTGAGATTTAAAACGATTTGTGGAAGAATCAATTTCGTATGAAACAATTTAACCTTAGAACATTCAAGTAAAATTGGAAGTTTCAGTGAGTTTTGTTTGCAAGTTTAGTTTTATAGTCATTTCTTTCTTCGAATTTTTTTTCTTTCTCTTCAATTTCTGAGTGGGTTGAATTCGGCAATGTCGTGCAAAATTTGCATGAACAAGTCTTTGTTTTTGTGTGTTCGACGCCAGAGGAATTCGGAGAAATGCAGGTCCAGTCTCAATTTGGGGTCATCTTTCTTGCCTGCTTTTCTGATTTTCTTCGCTTTGCTCACCCAGTCTTGCACTGCAGCCTTATCGTCTGCTTCATCCTTGTTGATCTGGAAGTACTGGGCACACACCTCACGCAGCACGTTGTTCCAGTAGGCCGCCTCTTTTGCACTCATTCCAAACCCCAGTTCTTGGAACATAGTGTCTGGGTCAGTGGTGTTGCCTTTAGACCACGAGTAGATGAAGAGAATGAAGCGTTCGTAGGAGAGTTTTGAGCACTCTAGCAGCGAGCCAGACTTGGCTTGGATTTGTCGGTAACATTTGTTTGCCTTGCATCTCCACCGGTCTTCACGTACTGACAAACTCAACTTCATTGCAGTCCCGCAAACTCGGCAGAATCTCTCCTTGTGTAAAAGACCGTGATGTTGCAAAAATAGAATTGCGTTCTCTTTTGATTTAATAAATTCGCATAGTGACGAGAATTCCATTTTCATTAGTTTGCCTTGCTCCAGTTTTCTTGCCCAAAATTCAGCAATTGAAGTTGAAACGAATTTAATGATTTTTGCGAATTTCCCCACTTTTCAAAACGTGCGTTATTTGGCAAGTATGTATTTCCCCCGCAAGTTTCATCGAATTTATTCAGTTTCAAGAAGTCAAAAGAAATCACGTGCTGTGTGATTTTTCGTGTATTTATTCATTCGTTTGATGGAAGGAAAATTAATTGAAACATAATTTACTTCGCTCTCATAACACGTTCACTCAATTTTGAAGTGCTGAAATTTTGAAATAGATAGCGAATGGATTGAAGCTCAAAATAGCGAAAAGAAATGCTGTCAGATTGAGATCTAAATAGGGCTCCCCCCCCCCCCTCCCCCCTCAACATTTGAATTTCAGTTTTGAATTGTCATTTAAATTGTCATAATGTAATTAAATTTAGCATTGTGAACAAACGAACTATTGTTCTTCCTCCCTTATGGTAACACAACGCATTCAGCCATAATAACACGTAAGACAGCTGAGAAAGTGGAAAATTTGAAATGTGGAGGAGGGGGGTTGTAAATAGCCGGGAATAGCAGCAACGCCAAAGATGGAAATTATTAAATCGGAAAGCGGATCAACCGTACAATCCCCACCCCCTGAATGACCTACCGTAGAATATTCCTCCTAGCCATGTGTTATTTTTGAAACTAGATTCCGCGTAAAATATGCATTTCAAACTAGTGAGCAAAAACTTTTGTTTTAGAAAATTTGGAATTTGTTATAGAATAGTTGTTTTATACTTTTAATTGTCCAAATATTGTAATCATTAAATATTTTTCCAATATTTTTTTTTTGCGATTAAATCAACTTATTTTGCATTCACAGTTAGTTTCTGAATAAGTTTTTTTTAAACCCGATTAAGCGACGAGTGAAGAAATAGTACGGTTCATTCATTAGATCTGTCGGAAAAGCTCTGAACATTGAATGTACAATAGATACAAATCGTCAATTTAGATTCTTGATATACACAGTAATTGATAAACCTTTCAATAACATTGCATATGAATTAAGCCTTATTTTGCAGTTTTTTTTGTTTTGCAAAGTCTGCAGTTATTGTTGTCGAGTCGAGGAAAATATTTGCATCCGAGGTGGCAAATATGTCAAATATCGGTTCTACTTGGCAATCCCTTTCAGCAAAATTCGAATCTTAAAAACATCGTTCTAGTGCTATTTACTTCTTGTTTTTTATAGGGGTGGCAATTTTGGATCTTAACTATTCCCCCCCCCCCTGTTTCGATTTTCAGAAATTCAACTTTAGCGGCCACATTTTCAATTGCTTAAAACAATTTTCAGAAAAAAAATATATATATTAAACATTTTTTAAGTGGGTATTATATGAATAGTGAGTAATAAAAATACGAACGCGCGAAAATGAAAACCCACTTAATTGTTGACGTTTTTGAAATGCATATTTTATACAGAAATGGTTGTCAAAAACAATGCATGCATAGGGGGGGGGGGGGGTAGTGAACAAGGTCCAAAAGGGAGGAGAGAAATAGTTAACAAGATCCGCAATTTTAATGAGATACCAAAGATAGGGCGATTGTGGGTCTTTTTACTTAAGACCCACAATCGCCCAAATTCCGCCCAAATTTCTCAATCTGGCAGTTTTGTAATATTCTATGTATAAATGCAGAGTAACAAAACACTGATCGCACTGATTGGTTTGGTAAATACAAATGCGATTACTTTGTTCTTTAGCCGATTCCAAACAAGGCTGGAATTAGTGAAAGTCATCGTTTCTTCCTAGAAATTTTTCTGTTTTTTTTTCTAGTCTGGGTAAAAATCTGTAGCTTTGAAATAAATTCAAATAGTTTACCAAAAGCTCTATACGTTTGGCCGATTGGGCTTATTTACAAGTCGACCTAACATTTCGAGATGATGCTGAAATTTGATCGGCGTATTCTAGCCAATCAGGTTGAACCAAAAAATTTCTGTTCAGAAATAATGATTTTTGGGTGGAACACGTAAAAAATCCCGCGATCCCAAACATAATGTTTTTTTTTTAAGTAGACAGACGCAAAGTTAAATATGAAATGAGTGCAATCATCTTTGGAACCAGAATCGGCTGACTGGCTTGAATTGCATTCTATTCAAAATTTCTACCGCAAAAATTAAAAGGATAACTGATTGCTGTGCAAGTATCACAGATTGTTCCGACCATATTCATGAACAAATTTAAAAATTTGTTAAGTAAATTTTTTGCACAATAATTGTTTATATATAATTTAAAAACCTTTATTGCTAAGAAAGCACTGAATTAAACATCCAATTTACGTTTTAAGTTTGTTAAATCACTTGATCGATTCCGATAATTATTCGTGGTACCATTTTCAGTGGAAATAAAAAGAAATAAAAAATGAAACACACCCGAATACAAAGTTCTTCCCCACTTTCAATGATCGGAACAATGATAGAGTTTGTCCTATAGCAGAGAAACTCCCAAATGCCAGTTATTTACAAAAAGAGATTGTAGCTGGTCTGATATGCAAAGCACGCAACACATATCAGCCCAATTCTGGACATTGACTGAGAAGAACAAAATCTGCAATTAATTTGGGCCAAATTTTGCTCTTAAAAAATTGAGCATCCTGGTTGACCAAAAATGCGAATCAAACAATTTTCATATATAAAAAAACTAAATCATACTTTTTTCAAGCAATTTTATTTTTTAATTACAGAAAATTGCATGAAATGTCTTTGGTTTGTGACTTTTCGTATATGGAATTTACATGACTAGTATTTTTCCATGAACCAAAAATGTAAATGTTTTTTATGTTAAATTTTTTCTGAAATTTAGTTGGGTTGTATTGGACAAAGACACTGGTTACTCAAAGCTAGATTTAGCAAAGGTTTAACGGTCTTTATGTTCAATGCATTGGAAACGCCCTGAAAACAGTTGTTTATTTCACAAACAATATAATGAAAGAAGTAAACTTTGTACACTAGCCAGCTTAAGAGCGTAGTGTATAAGTACAAACTTCGTTTTTTTTCCAACCTTACTTGCAAATAAAAGTGTTAATTAATTGTGTTGCTTAATGGCAGCTAACTCGCAAATGAAGGTTTTATTTAACGGCACTTCTGCAATAATCACGATCTGTAGCATTGGAAATGTTATAGCATCTGTTCTCTGCATCTTGTGGCTAGTCTTAGCGATTTACTGAGCGTTCGTTGATGAGAGTTTAGCGCGTGTTAATCATAATCTCTTGGTCGCAGATCAAATACGAGAGGTATCCGAACTTTTACCAGTTCGAGGTTTTTTCTGCTTTTTTTGCTTTTTATTGAGTAGCTTTTTGTCGTGTTCTCGCTAGTGTTTGAGGAGCGCAGCTTCGCCTCTGTTTAACTTTTGGCGAAATTTTTTTGAATTAGTTACCTAGAGAAACAAAAACACAGTCCAGGTTTTGAGTATCCAGGACGAGGTTATGATCACAAAAAAAATTGCTTGCAACAAAAAATATTTTTGGAAAAACTTTGTGAGTACAAAATTCGATATCAATTTTGCGTTAAAAATTTATAAAATTTTTTGGGACACCTTTGAAATTAAAAAAAAATTTTTGGTGTTGTTATCAAAAAAATTAAAGGTTATTCATACAATTTACAGATTCGGAAAATGTATGATTAGCTCTTTTAAGCAAAAATTTTCTTTTTTTATGACGACTTTTTGCCAAAACAAGAAAATTTTCATGGCAAAAATGTATGAAAATTGTAAGATAAGCTTTTTCATAGAGTTAGTAGGTTGAAATCTGTTTGCCTCATTCTAACTTCGAAACACTATTTTAAGTTAAGTCGTGGACTTGTATATCACTGGTGTTTTAGATGGGTAAAGTATTTGATTCATTATATTAGGAAGCGAGCAAAATGAGCAATGGTGAGCTGGCTGATTTGGACACATCTCGGACCCAACCACTTCCGATGACCGCTCCGAAGACAGACAGGAAGTCTGTGTCTCAAGCTCCGCAATTAGCCCAGGCAGGCACGGATGGGGGAGCAACTGTGAGTACGCAGGCAAATATCCTCGCGACTCTGATGCAGCCCTCTGACACGCAGAAAATAGGAGACCCGTCCGAGGACTTGACCTTGAGAGCCGCCATGTACGGTGTTCTGTTCCTTTCTTTCATCGACAAGGTTAGTTGCGAGAATACAGCTTGTTACGAAAAAAATTCGAGTCTTTGTAAAAAGAGCAAAAAACAATGGCTGCTTAAGTAACTGCTGAGCTTCATGAAGTAGTACATCACCGCAGCCATAGATTTATAGAAATTGTTGATGAAAACTCTAGAAAACTGAAGAAGGTTTTCCAACCTTTTAAAACAAAAGCCTTTCAGATTATAGAACCATGTTTAGAAAAACTACGAGGGTGGTCTAGCTGCAATGGATGAGGCTGTGAACATTCTACCGAGGACGAAGCACAGATTGCTGGTGTTCAAACACAGGGTCATGGTCAAGGCCAAGCTGGGTCAGAATGTCTCGGCCGACATTGCCAAGTTCAAGGTCAGTGATGTATCCAATGCTCAAGCTTAAGCCCAAGATAAACATTTATAATACTAATAGTAATATGAAAACAAAAAATTGAAAGGAATAGTTCTAATAGAGAGTTTGGAGTTCAATAAATTGAGAGTTATTAGACGAGTATGAATCGAGTGTTTAAAATGAATGTTGCAAGATTCAATTAGGGTTCAAAAGTTGCACTTGTGCAAATTTCGCTGAGTGGTTTTTAGTACTGTGTGGGATTTAGGACGAGAGTGAGGATTATGTGGCCTACATGTGGAGACGGGTGGCACTCAGTTCCAAGAAAGAACTCGAACAACTCACCTCTTTCCAGAACTCCATCGAGGCTCTCACGGTTCGTACTACTGGGCGGAGAATATAGAAACTAGCATAAGTACCTCCAGTTCTGGGTTTTTATTCACAGGTTTCTTGTTTTTCCGTGACACTTTTGCGCTCGTGTTTATCGTGTGTTGTGCGACTGTAGTAGTTGTAGTATACCTTGTTTTCTTTTCAGAGTGCTACACACGACTGGCAGAAGGTGGACTATCTGCTGGAGTTTGGAGAGTGGCTGTATGTGAACGAGTACCCTCTGCAGGACTCAGTAGACGTCATAGACTGGGCGGTCAATATCCTCCTTAACATGAAGTTCCCTCTGCCCTCAACCAAATCTGGTCAGCATCATTAAGAGAAACTCAAGAATAGTCAACTTTTAACCATGTATTTTACTTATGATTAGATGAATTTGTAATTAGCCATTTTTCCGGGCGTTAGCTAAGTGTACCATATTACCACCTGATTGCGAAAGTAGTTTTAGCAGTCCGGTTTAGAAGCTTAATGAGCTCTTTAATTTCGTTTCGAGGCCCAAAAAGTCAGCTTAAAAGGCACTTCCGATGGCCCAGCATTATTTGACAGGAGAGGATCCTTTTCTCAGCCTATATTTTTGTATTGTCATTTTTGTAATGTGTTTTTGCGCCTCAGTTATTTGCGGTATCTACGTTTTTTAAGTGTTAAAGAGCGAAGTGATTGTCACTTATAGATCGTGACGTTTTTGGTTTGTTATTTGTTCCACGAAAAAGTAAAACATGTTCACGCCCGAATTTGGTTTTTCGCTGTTTGGCTGTTGATTTGTTTTAAGTTCTTTTCATTTCCTTTGTTAAACAAAGTCCACTAGCGAACAGCAAAAGTGTAAAAGTCCATGAGCAATACTCGAAATTCAAAATTTAAATTTCTGGTGGCCGAAATTCGAAGTTAGATTTTTTTTGAAATTCGAAGCCTAAAAAATGTTCAAAAGGTTTCAATCATTTTTAAAGGTTTCCCGGGAGTCTTTTACACTTTCCAACCATCATTTGGCTATGTTTCTGTTATAAATTGCGAGAGCTGACCTTGATTCGTTATGAAGCCTCAATAACTTCCAGGCACTATCCCACGTGGTCTGTCGGTAAACCGTGTGCCTTCGAATCCAAAGATGTGTTGTTCGAGCAAACGAACGGTAGTGCGACTCTTCATGTTTTCTCATTCTTTTTTCTGGGAAAACTTAACTGTCGGGCTTTCGCTCGTCTGCTTTTTTTGTCGGCTATTTTCGACAGCATAGACTATTCTTCTGATTTTAGCAATTTTCACTATATGCCAATGTTTTTCGGTAATTAAGAGTCGATGAACGTAAGGAAGATTCTTATGTCGGTCGTGATTTTTTTCAGGGAAAGTTTTAAAATTTCTTCACGCTCAAGCTTGATGTTTCGTGGTTTGAATTTAGAATTTTTTCTAGGTTCAGTTCATTGCCTTGGGGGAAAAGGAAAGCAAAATTCCATTGTTGAGCAGCAACAGTGTAAAGGTCACGAAAAACGTGATCGATTTCTATTTGCGAAAGAGGATTTTAATTTTCAGGTTTCCCAGCGGAATAAGAACTTTACCCATTGATCCAGTTTTCTCATATTGAGATAGTTTTATCAAAAAATTTCCAATCATAAATTATACGTGAAACTCAAAGAGTCACAAGATCATTTATATAACTATATATTTTTTGAAATTTGAAAGTTGAAGTATTTAAAAAAGTAAGTAAGCTGCTTTTCTTTCCTTGCGTTCATTGACTCTTTTCCAGCTGTCCGGTAACTATGTTTTCTGAATTTACTACTTCTGATTTCGTGTAACTTTTTTTCTCGCTTAAATGGTGCCTGGGTCGTAGATTTTAATGTTTCTGTTTTCAGGAGTAATTCAGCGTTAAAATTTCAAAGTTTCTGAACTTTAGCTCAAATTTTTTATGAAAATGATTTTGATTTCGGCTGTTTAATTGAGTGTTTGATTGGTTTCTTTCTTTCCAGCCCGGAAATCGGGCAAGAAGGTTAGCAAGAGGAGTACCGTTGGCGCAAAGAGCACTACCCGATCCGAAACCAATTCTCTGACAGGAGACAATGGAGCAAAAGTTCAACTGGATCCGACTGCTGGTAAGTTTGAAGTATATATTACATAGTTTTGCGATCGATTGTTTTCTGAAAACACACTTTGTGGGATCAGAATGCCCGACAACTGATGAATCTGGCAGCGGTGAATGTCAAATCTGTTATTGAGAAAATAACCTCTTACCAACTATCTAGTACAAGCGAAAGTGTTAGAATAAGTGAGAATAACTTGAAGACATGATCGGTTCCATATGGGAGCAGTTTTTTGTGGTACTCATATCACTCCTAAATGTTTTTAAGGCTAAGGCGAAGTCGATTAGCATCAGTTGGGTTGTTTTCAGTGGAGGAGGAGAAGTTGGAAGACTTGGTGTCGGACGATGAAGACGACGATGCGGACTTGTTTGATGCTGGCCAGTACATCCCCATTGTGCGCAAGGCAGAAATAGGCACCAACCTCAACAACCTGGCCTTGACTGTGGAGAATGTAAACGGAGTGAACCAGCTGGAGCTGCTCATGAGGAGCCACCTAATGCTGGCACATATTGTGGGAACTTCTTCTAGAACATTCCCGTACTGCGTACTCATGGCCTACACTTGTGTCATGAGGATTTGGCAGGTAGGTTTTAATTCCTCTTAAACTGCAACAGACAGCTGGTATCAAGATTTTCATTTCCCAAGTATAGCCAATTCATCCTCGACACTGAAATTTTAATTTTTTGAAAACAACTTACGATTGAAAGGTTTAAATTATACCACCAGACTCGATTTTCTGCGAATCCATTTTGAAGTAACTGAACTTGCTTGAAAAAATTCACCCTAGTTATACATAGTTTCTCCCGGCTTCTGGAAGTGGTCGAAACAAAAATTATTCGAATATAATATTTGAAGTGGTCGGAACAGTTATTCGAATATAATATTCGAAGTTGTAGGAACAGTTATTCGAATATAATTTGAAACAAGACTGCTCGAAATCAAAGATCAAGTGTACAAATTTGAGTCATACGAAATTATTACGACCGATTAGCTAGCCTCAATTCAATTTGGAACGATTTTGTTGGGCGGGATAATTCGCCACGCATAAGTAACATTACAAATTTGCGTTATACTTCAGCATTATGAATAAAATCCTCAAAACGCTCATATATTAGTCCAGAGCATGGCCAAATTGGAAATTTTCAAACTCCTAGAACATTGTTAAAAAAATGATCGGAGGTAAAAATATCTTTTTATATTTGAATTCAGGGAGTCAATATCTTCAATGGGATACTAAAAAATTTTTCGATCGCCGAAAATTTAGTGAATAAAACAAGACTGCTCTTTAATCAGGGCAAAGCCTTGAATGTTCCGACTGCCCCTTAATCCATATCGAATAATTTTTTGGGAAACAGAAATATTGAAAAACTCTAAATTTTGGACAAACTCAAAAATCAAATGTAAAAATTTGAGTCGTATTAAATTATTACGACAGACTAGCTAGCCTCAATTCAATTTTTAACGATTTTATTCAGCGGGATTACTCGCTACGCATAAATGATTCGCATTGCGCTTTCAGGACAAAGAAAACTATTGTTTTGATCGCCAAAAATTAACTGAATAAAAAAATTACACCAAACAAAGATTTGTCGAAACAAAAAACCACCCCAAGCATAAATATACCGTTTTCTTTGAAAGTCGGAACATTACATTTTTAGCGACGGATATTTGGAGTGTGTTTACTCATATCTTTGTTTATTGTTATGACTTTAGTAACAAAAGTAATGAAATATTTAGGCTCGGGGTGGTTTTTTTTTCAGATAAATTTCGACTTTTTAACTAGCCATTTTTGACGGAATTTTTAAAATATCATTCAAAAGGTATTGTAGTCCTGAGCTCAAGTTTATTGTTATCCTGATGATCATTTTTCGTCAAGTCATGGGGGTTCAAAGATTGCCATTTAGGTTGAAGGAAGCTTATTTGCCATAATTGATTTGTTACTAGGAGCGAAAGTTTTCATTTAGTACTTTATATGGCGTATGAGGTACTGATTTTTACAAAAATCTCAAATTTTATTATTATTTTTTAAAATTTATTTCATTACTCTTAATTTTTTCAAGCTATTACTGCTCCATAGAGCTCAAGAGGCAGTCAGAATTTTCAGGGCTCAGCCCTGATACGAGTAGTTTTGTATGTCTTTTAGAAACTCTGGGCGGCTACTAACTATCAAGAATTTCTGGATATTAAAAACATTGAGAAGGTAGAGAATGCAGTTTAAAAGTGATGAGCGGTATCATTTTGCAAAACATGTACGCACACGGCACTTTCATTTAGTCAAAGTTTGATTGTGTTTTTTTGTTCGTGCACTTTTAATTTTCAAGAATTATTAAATACCAAAAAAATCAACTTAATTTTAGGACTGATAAAAACAAGGTCAATATTAAAATGTTTTCGTCAATTCGACATCATCAGTATATTTGGGGTGATTTTCACTTTTAGTTGTCAAGAATTATTAGATACCAAAAAATTTAACCTAATTTCAGGACTTGTGGTCTCGTCTCACCACAAATAAGGTGGAGTATATTTGGGTGAACTATTGATGGTTTTGAATGCTCGCAGTTTGAGCTGCTTCCATTTTTCGGGGGTCATAATTTTCTCCCTCATTTTGTGTTTTATGTCTATTTCATAACTTCCAAATCTTTTTTCTGTATTTGCACCGAGGATTTGAGATCGAATTGGATTACTTGAACTCACAAATGACTCTTTTAATGTACTGTGAAATCTGACCGTTTGAGCTTCGGACGGGATTTAATGTTTGGAATCTATTACAAATCATCCTGCTCTCTGTGGTACCCTCTTAATTCCATCTCCCTTTGAAATGGATAATAAAATAGTCAGGCGTATGCGAATATTGAACCTAGTAACAAACCAGATGGGTTAAATGTCGCATTGCTTATATAGAAACCGAAGTCTTAGACCAAATGGTGAGGCTCAATTAATGAGTCAGCTAACATAGCCTATAGAGAAATGGCCCCGTGTTGATATGATAGTCATGTTGCCTCAGTTTCCAGTACATCCATCTGTAAACAAAAGAATGATAGCACCGGTCCTGCCTTGTGAAAAGTTTGAGTCTCTCTTAAAGTGTTTCGTTTTTAGGTGACTCTGATGCAGGGCAACAGAGGCAAAGACGACAAGGGTCCAGTGGAGAAGGGTGCGTCTGCGAAGAAGAAAGACGGGGGCAAAAAAGATGGCGACAAGAAAAAAGGTAGCTGCTTGATTATTGTCCAAGTACCTCAATCCGGGAGTACAAATGAACAATTTTTCTCAAAAACAAATGAAGAACATGAATTAGGAGTTACTGATCTCACGAAAGATGTCCTTCTCAGTAGCTGAGAGATACTCGTCTGTTGGTAGTTAGTTCCTCCTCCTATGATTCAATTATCTTCGATTCAAAGCCAAAGAACTATGACGGCGCTAATAAACAATATAGTGCTCAGAATGCTGCAATATGCTGGCTCATGCAAGCCTCAACATTACGACGCATTTTGGAACTCGGTGGCATTCAGAGTTATAAAATATGCTTTTGAACTAGTTCAAAAATCTCCAACATAAAATTCAAGAAACGTTTTTGAAAAAAGTGGATGCTGGTTTGGAAACGGTGTGGGCTGTAGAATTACAGAGAAAACGGAAACGCAAATGGAAGTTTATCAATGCTGGGATCTTTCAGTTTTGTTGAACCTTGTCGTTTGCCTAGTTATTGGCCTGGATCGATGTCATGTCTTAGACTCTAGACCCACTGCCAATTACGTGTACTTCCATCGCCTTTTACTATGGAAATCGCGTACTTCCATCGCCTTTTACTATGGAATTATCGTTTATAAACTAACTTTGTTACATAATTTCTTGCTTTATTGTTATCAGGGGAAACATATATTTGGTCATCCTGTAAACTCAGCATAAATTAGTAGCGTAATTTAACGCACATTAACGTAAATTTACAGGCACTTATCAGTGTTCACTCAAAAATTAGTGCAGGTTCTGCATTTTAACGTTATTTTCTTAGAAATAAAAGGAAAAGCGTAGAAAAAATGTCCGAATCGACAACTGAATTGATAATTGAAGGGGAAATTAGTACCCCAGAGCCAACTTTTGCCCAAAAACTTACGGAAAGCTTGGTTTCGAGACCAGGACCAGTCCAAAACTTAGGAAACAACCAAAACAAAAATCCGATTACTGTCGATTTTGTTTTACCTTTTACCAAAGAAATATTCGAGAACGAAGCAAAACAAGAAGAACTATTTGCCGAAGCTGTATCAAATATTCGTAAAGGCCTCCCGCGCGAATGTCGAAACAATCTTACCATTCTGAAAACCACAATTCCGAAAAAAGATGGCAAGAAACTCAGAGCGGTTCGAGTGCTTGCCCCCCAATCGATATACAACGAAGTACAAGCACTTAAGCTGAATGGAATAAACATCAGAGACAAGCATATAGTTGCTTGGGGACCTAAAGAACGCGTCATAGATGCTTACCCTAAAGAAGTCAACATGTATTTCAGAAACCTAGCGCATTTCTTCGATGACGAAGATGTGTTGCAAGCAGTGAAACTTCCAGATATGATGAAACAAACCACTATGATCCAGAAAGAGACGATTGCAACGAACGATGAAGACGGTGGCTGTGTATACACCGGAAGAGCATCATGTCGTATGCTTATCGAAGACGAAAAACAAGAAGAACTATTATCCTCATGGGCCGAAAAAAGTTGTGTGCAGACCTTTGAACTATTTGGAACGCAGTTTTTCTGCAACATCCCCTCATTGTTAATCTGCGAACACTGTGAAAAAGCCGGTAGAAGGGCCAAAGGCCATCACGTAAGCTATTGCTACCAAAAGTTTCGGTCGTCAAAAAATAATCAGAAAGAACCGTCTGATCAACGCCTAATGAAAAGCAAAGAAAGCGAATATCATGAAAAGAAACCAAAGCAATCCGAAAAAGAAGTCAGCCAAGAAGTACAATCAGACGGCGAAATCAGCTACGATACCAATACCAATTTCTCGCAAGTAGTGAAAAGAAATGTAAATCGAAGAGAATACGAGCTGAGAAAGCAGAAACTCCCCCAAACTGAAACCAAACCAAATAACTACAGCAACGAAAATGAAACCCAGTTTGAGTCTCTGGGAACAATCACGAGAAGTCGTATCAGACAAAAAACGGTCAAATCATCCGACGAAAAAGGCTTGAATAGCGAGTCGGAACTGTCGAAAGAAGTCAATGAAAGTCCTAACCTGGAATTGCCGAGGGCTTGATTGTCCCGAAAAACTTATTCACATAATGAATAAAGTAACCCATCTCAACTATGACCCAAACTTCATAATTTGTTTACAAGAAACCCAAACTACGGATATCAGTCATAAGTTGAGAACAACTCTAGAGTACTACAAACTTCAGTCTGCTCATACATCATCAATTGGTCGTAGTGGAGGACTACTTACACTCTGGCCAAAGTCTATGAAAGCAACCGTTATCGCAGAAAACAGGGCGTCCCAGCTAATTCATTTTCCCCAACAACGAACATATGTAGTGAATGCGTATGTCAGAACAGCAAATTATGTCAAAAGTTGCCAACTAATATCGGAAGCGATGACAGAATTAAATGATATAAATGAGTCAGACACACTTATTCTTGTTGGAGACTTGAATTCTTTCCCGAATCACAAGAGAGATCATCAAGCACAAATAGTCTCGACTGCAAAGGTATTCAAGAAAAAACATGTTACCATATTCAAAAGAGTAGAACCCATTTTGAACAGACATTGCCTTAAAGACACAGCAGTTGAGCTAGAAAAAGATAAAGTTACACATAAATGCTCCAGAACTGGAACACGCACCCGAATAGACTTTATTTTTTCGAATACTCTCACGGCGGATGATACATTCCAAATGTACGAAACAACCTTGAGTGACCACCAGATCTTATGTTACCAAACTTTTCAAGAACCTCAAATGGACATGGGTCCAGGTATCTGGAGATTGAATAACAACATTCTGCCAAATAACAAAAAAACAATAGAAAAACGTCTTGAAAATTGGTCAATTGAAAACTATGATGTAAGTAAGCAAGAATTACGTGAGTTCCTACGCAACATCTCAATACAGAAAATCAGACTAGAAACAAAATACAAACAAATGTTAGAATCCCAAATTGAACATTTGAATATAAGCAATCAAAAAAGAGTTGAACTCGAATGTCAACTGCGAAAAATAGAACAAGAAGAGTGTCGACAAATTTTGACGTGTATTCAAAATAATGTCAAAGAGCTTCAGGACGGCAACCCCAAAGAAATTAAAAGATGGGCTAGGCAACAGCAACCTAAAACAGTCATCAGAAAAATGAAACTTCAAACTGGGGATATTACAACTAAAACACAGCGGATATTGGAAGAAACAACATCGTTCTACGAAAACCTCTATAAAGAAGAGCAAGTGATGGACATAGATCGGTATGAGATTCTCAATAGTTTTCACAAAAAATTGTCGGACAAGAGCATCGAAAGTCTTGATGCTCCACTTCAAATGGAAGAAATTGAAATGGCAATAAGTAAACTAAAAAAAGGAACGAGCCCAGGTCCTGACGGACTTACATCTGAATTATATCAACAACATGCCTTCTCTTTTGCCAATATACTTTTACCATTGTTTCAATCTGCTTTTAGTTTTGCTAAAATGCCGAAGTCCTTCAACAAAGCCATAATCAAACTGTTGCCGAAAGAAACTGAGAGTCTTCTGCCGAATGACTATAGGCCGATCAGCTTGATAAACACAGACCAGAAAATCCTGTCACATGTAATAGCTGGAAGGCTTAAGCCAGTTTTAAGTGAAGTGATTGAGAACGAGCAACATGCATATTTGCCCAATAGATCCATACATCAAGCCATCCTTGAAATCCGATTAAGACTCCGCAAATCAAAACCCAAAGTGGTAGCTTCAACAATCGACTTTTCTAAAGCTTTTGATAGGGTCGATCGGAAATATATGTTCCAAATTCTACGAAAAATTGGCTGCCCAAGCCAATTGATATCACTAATAGAAAGCTTGTACTGCAACTCTAAGTCATCAGTTGCAATAAATGGGTTTAATTCAAGAGAAATCAAACAGAAACGAGGAGTCCGACAAGGATGCCCCTTATCAGCTCTGCTTTTTATCTTAGCTCTCGAGCCACTGTTAAATCAAATACGAGAATCAACTTATTTTAGTAAACTTGAAACACGAAGTGTTGCGTATGCTGACGACCTAACAGTTTTCACTCGCGCTGACGAGGTTCAACATCTGCACAAAATACTTGATGATTTCTGCAAAGGCACCCAGTTTCGAGTTAATCGAAGTAAATCAAAATCCTTAAGCCTGTACGATCACCCAAATATGGAAACTGTTAGAACAGCAAAAGTACTCGGAGTAGTGCTAGGAGACACAGAGCTCTCAAGAATATCAAATAATGAGGAAATTCTGAAAAGACTTAAAAACAACAAGATCAGATTCAATCGATACATGAGTTACAGAGCAAAATCTATTGCGGTCTCCACTTTTGTGATACCACAAATAACTCATATCGGAAGACACAATCTAATTTCAATAGATGTTCTCAAAATGTACAAGGAAGTAACCAGAAAAATTGTTTGGGGAGCTGGCAGGAGATGTGAAATAGCTTTGCAATTCCTTGAACGAGACATGCTCAAAGGAGGAGTGAAACTTCCCAGCCTGCAGGCCCATCTTTTAGCTGCCAAAATCCAAGATTTTCAAAATGCCTACTTCAGCTTCGGACCACTGCAGAAACATCTCTTAATGGAAAACTGGAATAATCCAACGAGCAGGTTTTACAGAGAACTAGATGGAGATCTAGAAAACTCTGAACTCAGTATCAACTCATTAAATGACGAAAGCATTGAGATAATAAATTCCCGAGGTTGGATGATGAGCATCCTTGCGAAAACAAAATACTCCCAAATATATGGAGCATGCGTGGAAAACTTTCACTTTGAAAATAGTTGGAAAAAAAGAATTGAAAAAAGCTGCACGAAGTTCAACTTGAACCCAACTGAATTCAGTAAAGTTTCGCCATGGTTGTGGAGACAACCAAGGTTAACCAGCTTTGAAAAAAATTTGTTCTACCGTCTGCTCTTCAATTGCCTTCCAGATAAAGACGTCCTATGGAATAGAAATTTAAAGCCCGATCCATTATGTGCTTTCTGTATGTATGAGTTTGAGAACTGTACCCATCTGTTTGAGAGTTGCTCTACTATAAAACCGTTCCTGGAAATACTTCAAATCAAACAATTATCCGACATCTTCAAAAATCCCAGTGTTGTAAAAACGAAAGCAGTATCAATCGTCCTTTTTGATTCATGGAGAGGCAATAATGCAGAATGTACAACTTACAGACTTAAAAAACTTACAAACTTTATGCATTGATTTACCTAAATAAGTTTTCTTTTTGCTTTAGTACCAAATAGTTGTAGTACATAACTTCTAGTAATTTACGATTTACATACTATGGAAATCCGGGCAGGGGGTGAAATTGAGATAATCGATCTTTTTCCCACCCTCACTTTCGAGTGAGGGCGATAAAATTGAATGAATAGAGTTTGGAAACATGTTATCGAACATTGACCCACGCTTTTTGAAACTTACACGTTTCACTGAGACGTTTACTTTTCAAAAATTGTGAGTAAATTTCCGAAACATTTTTCAAAATTCTACTCATTCAGTCTAGTTAATTACGAAAACGTAAGTTCACGCAATGCTCTGTTATTATTCAGCCTCGAAATTATTTTTCAGCCGTTATTCAGAAAGTCCATGCATTTCATTTAGTTGCTTATTTTGTACAATCGTGTGTGCTAAAAGTCAGAAATGAAAAAATAAAGGGGATTCAGAAAAGCTTAACTTATGATATTTTTGCGTACATGTATTTCATGTTTCCGTGTTTCAGAAGAAGGAGGGGGAAAGAACGAGAAAGGGAAAGGAGGCGGGGCTGCTGGAGGAGCGACTGCGAGGAAGACTGGGCCCGTGGAGACCATCCCAAGGACATTCGAGGATTGGGCGCTGTATGAGATGCCTGAGAGCATGCGCCAGTTGTGTCACGAAGACACGAGCGGTTTCTGCGTGAACAAACTCACACTTAACAAACCTGTTAGTTTTTGTGCTGCCTGAATGTTCCGATTGTTTGGAATCTTTCTAAAAATAGATTTGCGGAAAAAGACTGATTCTCTCAAAGGTCTTACATTCAGAAAACGTGACGTACTTAATCTCACCCATTTGAAGTAGGAGGTGGTCATTTTGAATCAATCTTAGCTTTTTCTGTTTCATGTCTCAGTTGTTTTAGATGCTCACACTGCACTACTTGATGACTCTGGTGGAGTATGTGCGTGAGCTGAATTTGAACTACCTCGCATTTCCTGCCCTCTCATTGGGCAAGTTCATAGCCAGCGAAGTCATGGAAAAGGACTCAATTGGCAAGGTGGTGCGCCTCAAGTGAGATTTTTTCCCTAATTTTGTTCATCCAGCAATTGATGTTTACTTTTAGCAATCAGCAGATGCTCTGGTAATTTCAGCTATTTGCGACAAACTTAGATAACCTAACAGTCAGCGCAGTTATTTTGGAAGCATTTAATTTTTAATTTTTTTAAATTAGCTGGCTTTTTGATTTGATAATGATATTTGTTTTGTTCAGGTTTGTGCAGTTGTGCCATGAGATCAACTTGGAGGCTGCAGCCAGTTACCACGAGAACGTGGTCGGCCATCTCTACATCAACGAGGAAGAACAGGCACAGTGAGCTACAATTTTCATATGTCAAATCAGGGCTCTTTTTCCTACACCCCCACCTTTGAACGAGGAAAAACGCTGATTTACGTCATGTAGTTGATTCGTCTTTTTTTTCAGGACGCTCACATTTTTTACGCTGTTTAACTTCTAATCGTTTTAAGCTCATTGAACAATTAATTTGCCAGGTAGAAGGCCAATTACGCTCTCTAATTACAAAAATACAAATGGCACACAAACTTTATTTCTTTCCAGTTTTTGAAATCGGTTGAAGTCTTTTTAGTTCCCAGTTAAAGAAAGCTTTTATCTAAAAAGTCAATTTTAATTTTTATTTAAAGTATTTTTGACCTAGTTGCCGCTGGATAAATGATTTTAAATTCTTATTTAACGGCGGCGATGTTTTTCTTGACATGTTTTACGTAAGCTGAACATACTTGTTAGCTTGTGTGTGTGTTTGAGGGTGCGTACTGAGCTGAGTGTGATGGAGGAGAAGTTGAGGCAGGTGATGTTAGAGGAGCAGCGGATGAAGCAGAACAGACGAGTGATGATAGAACAGTCGAACATGAGTGAGAACACGAAGCAGATGATGATCAACAGACAGCAACACTCCATGTCAGCCACATCCACCACATCCACCTCGGTCTCTATACTATTTCATTCACTTAATTCGATTCCAATAGCTACTGGGCGGATTATAAGAAGATAATTTGAACAGAAAGTGACATTACACAGTGCTTTCTATGGGTTTTTGATTACTACAAAAAACAATAGAGGCTAGCGTTTAGCTTAAAGCGCAACCCTACATTAGGAATATTTGATTCAAAAAGTTTTTCTTCCCATGCAGTGCGTCAAATAGATCAATATTTTAGGCGGGTGGTGCGGATCTTCCGCTTGGGGAACCCCTAGTGTTGAGTGGGAGGAAGATAGGTGATGTTTCTTTCTATGACAACTGGATCCAAATGGCGCGCTTCCTCATCGACCAAGTGAGTGTATAATCTCAAGTGTAACATGGGTATCGAAGGGTGAGAACTTAACGTTATTTTCTAAAGCGAGTAATGATGATGTAAACTAGATATGATTTCGCGTATGATGAATTTTCTCTGCGTTATTTTTCTGATTTCTTTGATGTTTTTTGAATGCATTTTGCTTTTACGCTTACGAACCTTCTTCTTTTTCCAACCTAAGTTGCAAATATTGTTGCGGCACTGTTAAGGTGCGGCACTCCAATAATGGTTAGGCACCTTTAGAGCTTTTTTATAGCATGTGCTTTGGCATTCGAATAGTAATAAATTAACACAGTTGATGAATTTTTAGTTCATCAAATGAACCGAAAAAAGCTGTTTGTTTTAAACAACATCACAATAATAAAAACTCGATTTCAGAAATTTTCTAATGTGGCTTTATGCTTTGCAATTTGTTACATGCAACGTTAGTGTGGATACCTCCAATTTGTTATATTCCAAATTATTAATAGCAAAATTGAGTATATTTCTATTTGGTGCCACTTTTGCTGAATTGAATTGGCCATTTATTAGCAAATGTAGCTGCTTTATTCGTGACTAGTGTTTGTCGGTTGTTAAGCTTGCGTGGCTGCGGGGATAGTGCATGAGACTCAAAATCTTTTGATTGTAGTAGGTCGAATCCTACACGTAGCCAAGTTTTTGCTAATTCGATGCTTATTTCTACTTTTTCTTATTTAACTTGATAGAGCTGTTTTTTGGTCGTGTTCTCGCAAGTGTTTGCGAAGCACAGCTTCACCTCTGTGTAAATACTGGCTCATAAGCGATATTTTTTTCCAGTGCCAGTATCAAAATGCCCGCCAGTTTCTCGCAGAAGCTAACTCAGCCGCAAAGCGACTGGACGATACCCTTACGCGACGAAAGTGCCTGGAACTACTTAGCTTAATGGCTTTGAAAGAATCAAATCCCGACCAGGCAGCGAAAATACTAGCCAGTGCCCAGGGTCTGGGGGGAGACATTGACTTCTGGTTCGCGGCTACCAACATTCTAGCGGAATGTTTGATGCTGAAGCGTGAAGACTCGGAGAGATTTAGCAAAGCGCGTCATTTGATCCACACGGCTCTCGATGAATTCGAAACTCTAACCATGATACAGCCGAACAAGCAGCCGTCCATTGAAGTGATGATGGCAAAACTGGAGCTGAAACTCGCTCTCATTGAGTACGAGCATATAATGACTGGTTCATCTAATTCAGCCTCGGTTAGCACTATGCAGCCGAAAATTCATGGGGCCTTGATTGGCGTGGTGAAGAGGCTGGAGAAAGTGGCACAGGTGTTCAATCGGGCGAGAAAATTTATGGATGAAATCTACACTGTGCTTCAGATCTGCCATTTGTACCGGTGAGTTGCGTAACGATCGCATTTTTCTGGTATGTTTTGTTATTTTTAAGTGTAAAAGACCGAAGTGATTGTCACTTATAGGTCGTGATAATTCATTTCCGTTTTTGTGAATGACTGCTATTTTCAAAAACTGAACTTGTTTTTCTGAGCCGGAATTAAAAAATTACCTATTGGTCCAGTTAGTTAGATAAATTTAAGAATTATTTGCCAGTTAAATTTCAATCAACTTTTTTGCAGTTTTTTTGTTCATATACACTTTTCCAACCATCTATTGGCTATGTGACACAAGTGAGTTGATGAGCGCAGTGTATTAGTATAACTCTACTTTTTCAACCTTTTGGTGGCACTTTTGCGATAATCACGATCTGTAGCATTGGAAATTTCTTAGCATCTGTTCTCTGTTTGGCGGCTATTCTTTGCGATTAGTCAAGCGTCCGTGGCTCAAAGAGATTCCTAAGCTACTTGTCGGAGACTCAACGTCTCAGTTAGCAATAGTTTTCTTATTTAGTGGCTTTTTTGCTGCACAGCATTGGCAATTTATTTGCATCTATAGCTGCATCTTTAATGGCTAGTATTTGCATATTTTCAATGGATCGTGGAGGGTTCGAATCCGACGCATCGCAAAAGTGTGTCTAATTTGAGGCTGACTTTAGTTTTTAATGCTTTATTTTTTAGATCTTGTCCTCTGTGTTAATCTATGTCATCTACTTAAAGCAAATGAGATTTGCATGCCTGGATGCTTAACTACATTTAATCGAATCTTACTACAAGCCAGCTAGCAAGCGCAATGTTATACTCCGAATGGATTTTTTTCTAATTCGATTTCAAAATAAAAAATTTCATTAAAAGTACTTACTTTTGCTGTATAGCATGTGTTTAGGAGCATTTTCTTAGCATTTGTTCGGTATCCGCAATGTTAGTGGGTAGTATTTGTAGATTTAAAAGCTCATTATGCAGTTGGAAGGGTTTGAGATTCATAATCTCTAGCTTGGTTTACTGATGTAAAAAAAAACAGCCTAATTTCGCATTCTCATTGCGGCAGTATAAAGGTCACAAAAAACGTGGTCGACTTAAGTTTCAGATTTTTCAGCGGAATAAAAATTGACCTATCAATCCAGTTTTTTCAAATTGGGTTATTTTTATATGTCTATCATAAATTGTTCTCGAAACTAAAAGAGCTTCAAGGCTATGTTTTTCTTTTAAGTTTCAAAATTGAATTCTTCTTTTAAAAAAACAAGTCACGTTTTTTCTAAATGAAAAATATAGGGCCTGAAAGTTCTTTGAATTTATGAGTGACTTTTTTGATAAAATTAACCCATGTAAGAAAACTGGATCAATCCGTTTTCTTGAGTTCACTCTCTTTTTTCCAACTGTCTGCTGACTATGTTGGCTTTTCTTTCCCTTGTTTCTTCTTTGCCTTTTTCAAATGTTTTTGCCGTTTTATTGCTTGTGAAAATTTTTTCGAAATTTGAGATCCTGTGGGTTTTTGGTTGTTTTATACCTGCTCAACATAGATGTAACCACACAGGCTGGGGACGGACGGAAAATTTTTTGGGCTCGAGTCTGGCCCGAAGCGTTTTGGAATAATATATGCTTTGGTCTGCGAAAAGCAGTTTCTTTTATTTATTCTTGTAATGGTGCGGGTAATTGAGTTTAAAGAAATTTTGCCTTTTTTCATTTTTTTATTTTGAAAAAGTTTTCACGTGATCATTTAATGGCGCCTGCCTCATGGCCCAATTAATCTAGAATGATGATTTTTTTTCAGATTCGTCTTTCGAAAACTTTGGGAACAATTTATGGCTTTTTCGATAAAATTTCGACTTTTTCGATAAAATTTATTCAATGTTAGAAAATGTGAAAATTTTTTAGGACCCAATTTATCTAGAATGATGATTTTTTTTTGTAATTGCTTTTCGAAAATAATGAGTTTATCTCTTTTTCTTAAAAGATTCCATTATCTGTGTTTTGAGTTCGTCAAATGAGCCTTTATAATTTTAAAGTGTAACTAGCTTTGCAATCAGCAAGGGCATTGCAACCGGGTACTAGACTTTTTCACGTAAATTTCACGTGAGCTGTTGACATGCTCAATTTCTTGAAAGTTTATCAAAAATACCATCATTTAGGATAGGTGGAGTTCTATTAAGGCAGTAAATGAACAAAAATTAAATTACCGGAAAAATTCTAAACTTTTTTTCGTATTCTTGGTTTTGCGCAAATTGTTGACATGCTCAATTTCTTGAAAATTTAAATAAAACTACTATCATTTAGGATAGGTGGAGTTCTCTTAAGGCAGTAATTTTCTTTAAAAATAAATTTCCGGAAAAAGGTTGAACTTTTTTCATATTCTTGGTTTTCATCCTAGTTTTTATGCTTTTATAATTTTCAGTACGAATTGGTGGTGAAAATTTTCAAAAATTTAAAGCTCAAAACATTTATTACAATAGTTTTGTTTCGGTCCAACAGGGTTCGACTAAAATGTGTCGCCTTAGTTGACCATAAGTTTGACCGTGATTTAGTCGCCTTTATGTCATTCGTGTTGTGCTGCAGGCGTTTTGCGGGCGACTGCTCTGGCGACGAAGAGTCCCGCAATGATTTTCTTCTCAAATGTCAGAGGATTCTGAAGGTGGAGTGCATCAAACACCAGGGCGAGTTCCAAGTGGTCGCTGACCTGCTCTCACTCTCTGAGGTACTCTTTCTCAAGGAAGGCATGTAGGGAGTCAAGTGTGGTATTTAAGCCCTTTTAGTCGGAGTTCGAAGTTCAAACAAAGAAAGTGTCGAGAAAAATTGTCTTTGGTTTTCAGTCAAATACTTTTCAGACTAATATAGGCAAAATTTGATGAAGTTTGATGAAATGGGCTGGCTTTTCAATTAATTTTGGTTACAATTTAGTGTTAATTTAGCCTATATTATTTCTAGTTTTTTTTTCGTTTTTCAAACTCAATGTCTGTAGTGAAGACTCTTATACAGGTCGCGATTTTTTTAATTTTTGTTTTCTTTTAGGTTTTTTGAAACTAATTGATTTTTCTCAATTTTGATTCTCGGAAAAGTCAAATTTTGTGTCTTTGTGTGGTCAGATTTGTGACCGTTGATGTCAGATTTGTCGCATCAATGGTTGAATTGAAAAAAACAGATTGTTGAAAATCTATCTCAATAAATAGCTGCCTTTTTTTAGAAAAAAAAGAAATTGCTTTCAAAAAAAGTTTTGAAATGTTGACTATTTTCTGTAATTTTTTTTCTTCAACAAAACTACCCTGCCAATTCTCAGGTTAAGTGGTGATTTGAGAAACCCGGTTTTCTCCCTTATTTTAATAGAAAAACAACAATGGCCAAAGTCCTATTTTGAAATTACCCATTTCATACCGCATCAGTGAAAAAAATTCAGAAAGTGTCAATCACGTACCTCCAGCTTTAGCCATATTATATTTTATCGAGACATAAGAAAATTTTGGTTCACTTAATTTCGTTCGTAGTTATTTTTTTTCTAATGTTTGTCTCGTATCGCAAGTGATGCGAAGCTCCGATTCGCCTCTGTATCTTGAAGTTCAAAGAGCTTTAAGGGCATCTAATTTTTTCTTTGAAATTCGAAAGTGGAGATTTTTTCAAAACTTAAGTTTTTTTGTTTATTGGCATTAATTGACTCTTTTCCAACTGTCTGTTGGTTATGTTTTATTAAGTGCCTATGAACGTAGTGAGTGAGGCAGGCTCCAGCAACTGATTACGTGAATTTTTTTTCAAAGTTTGAGGTGATAAGGGTTTTTGGCTATGTTGTTTATGCACTTCTTTATGTTTTTGCACTTTATGCATTTTTTATGCGCGTTTTTGTTCACTTCCAGATGAGTTTGAAGGACATATACAATGTTTTTGTTAAATTTCGAAATTTGCAGGTTTTTCGAAAACTAACTCAGATTTTTTTCTGTTTGCTGGCGTTCATGGACTATTTTTCATTTGTCTGCTGGCTATGTTTTTTTGACCTAATTCAGTCACCTTTTGCTAAAAAAAGAATTGGCATGAAATTTAGAAAACACAGAATGATCTTTTCTTAAATTATGAATGTCGGAACCTTCTGTGCGATTTGCGCAGCAACAGCTTAGCTTTTTTACTGTTAAAATTTTGATTTTGATTAATTACTTTCCTAATCGCGCACCCAAAATTTAGTCGTGATGATGTTTTTTAGGACGCCTTAAAATTTGTCCCAGCTCAAATGTGTCTTTGAGTTCCAAAGTTCAGTTCATATCCTTTGTTAAAAGTAAAGCAATTTTCGCTGTAGGCAATTTCCACTAAAGGTTACGAAAAACACGATCGACTTCTAGTTTCGAATTTGGATTCGATCTTTAAGATTTCCCAGCGGAATAAAAACTTTAATTATTGATGCAGTTTTCTCAAGTTCTGTTATTTTCATCAAAAAAGTGTCAATCATAAATTGTTCTTGAAACTTAGAGAGCTTTAAGGTCATGCGTTTTTTCTTTGAAGTTTGACAAATAAGCTTTTTCAAAAATTAATTTTTTATTCTGTTTACTTGCGTTCATTGACTCTTTTCCAACTATCTGTAGGCCATGTTTATGTCTAACTGATGAATCAAGGATTTTTGAATCGCCTATCACAAATCCGTTTGACACATCTTAGGATTATCCAACCTCTAAAAAGTATTATGGGGTCTATGTTATATGTGTATGTATATGTAGAATGAGGCCTACAGTCTTCCGTACGGACGTGCATTGGGTGAGATGCAGCTGCTGTACTGTGGGGTGCTACTGGACCTCTACCACATCCACGTGAACACGGAGAAGAGACACTGCGAGGCACAGAGGAGGAAGCCATCACTACTCCAGGTACCCATCACACGCACCGACACAAATACTTGTCAAATTTGGGCTATATTTAGCTTTCCTGGCATAAAAAAAAAACATTTTGCCTAAAAACCGAGAAATTTCCAAAACGAGATGGCTGACGCAATTTCAACATAAGTTTGAAATATTTATGGAAAATATATCAGGTTGATAAAAAACGATGTTTTCTGGTCCATAAAAAACGCTAGACCGTAATCACAGTTGTTTTTAGTATTGTAAATTAACAAAAATTATATTTTAATTAAAAGAATTCGTCAAATAAATGTTTTGTTGTAGTTTGTGGAGGAGTTCCAACGAATAGAGAACACTCCAGCCGGATTAGAGGAGGAAGACGAGGATTTAGCCACAGTGGTGAAGTCAGTGCCCCACTACGTGCAGTCTATTCTGCAGGGCGCACTGGTCAACAACCAGCAGTGGGCTCACAACTCACCCTTTAGGGCCAAGGTAACATACACAAATACAACTGGCAACTTTTCCCCCCAATCTAAGTCGCAATCTTTTCCCCAATCTAAGTGCTGCTTGATAGGAGGCTAGCGTTAGCTCCTGTTTGATGAAAACAGGTGTTTTGAAAATGTATGGGCTTAAATGTTTTTTGTTTGATAGTCGATAAACATAGTGAAAACTTTCATAATAGATCGAGATTTTTTTTTCTTCAAAAAAAGTCCTAAGTTGTTCTTGCTCATATTTGATTTTTCGTAGTTTGACTCTTGATTTCTTTTGAAATTTAGTTTTTTTCCTTTGTTGAAAGGAAGGTAATTTCCACTATCGAACTGCAAAAATGTACAGATCACTAAAAACGTAATCAGTTTCTGTTTACAGGATTTTTTTTCAGATTTCCCAGCGGAATAAAAAACTTTATAAACAATTACACTTGCGAAGCAAAGTGTATTAGTATGAACTTTCTTTTTTTTCCAACCTAAGTCGCCAATAAAAGTGCTACTTTTGGTGGCACTTTTGAATCGGTAGGCTGCGGTAGCAGTATAATATCATATATGTGCTTTGACATTTGGTTAGTAAAAAATTAATACAGCTGATGCATTTTTAAATCATCAAATGAACCGAAAAAAGTTATTTGTTTCAAACATCAGTACAATGATAAAAAGCTCAATTTGAGAAATTTTCCAATTCATCGTATCTCGCAATTTTTTGAAATGCTTAATTTATACATAAGTTGACTTTATGCTTTCCAATTTATTACAAGCAAAATTGTGTTTTATTGTATTTTCTGCTACTTTTGCTGCATCGAATTGGCAATTTAATAGCACATGTAGCTGCGTTATTGGTGGCTAGTTTTTGGGGACTTTAAGCATCCGTGGCTGAGTGGTTAGGGCATGAGACTCAAATTTGCTAGGTCGTAGATTCGAATCGTACACGTAGCCTAGTTTTTGCTAATTCGAGGCTTATTTCTACCTTTTCTTATTTCAATTGATATAGTTGCTTTTTGGTCGTGTTCTCGCAAGTGTTTGCGAAGCGCAGCTTTGCCTCTGTGTCCACTTTTTTCGAAATGAATGAATTTGATCAGTGTCAATCATAACTTGTTCTTGCAATTGAACGAGCCTTAAGGCCATGTATTTTTTTTTAGTTTCAAAAGTTGAAGTTTTTTCCGTTTTCTTGCGTTAATTGATTCTTTTGAGGTGCCTGTTGGCTATGTTTATCATTGTTCCGACCACTGAAAATGGGGAGGAACTTTGCAATCGGGTGTGTTTTGGTTTTTTTCTTTTTTTCCACGCGAAATCAGTACCACAAATAATCATTAGACTGGGTTGAGTGATATATCATATTAAAGCCCTTTCAGTCTTGATTCGAACCACATTAAAAAATTCCCTAAACTTTTTTCTAGTGTCGAGGAAAACTAGAAAATTTTTTCGTCTAATTTCGAGCGATGAAAGCCAGCGAGCAGGCTTTATGCTTATTTTAGGCCACTTACAATTATGCTTAATTTTAGTTTTACTCCGGTAAATATCGTTTTTGGAGATATTTGATACCGTTTCTGTCAAAAATTTTTTTGAAAAAGTTGGACTTTTTTTACTTTTTTGTTTTTCTAGTCATTTTTCTTCAAATCTGTTTTCCGGTTTGCCTGTATTACTCTGACTGGCGAATATACCAAAGTTGTAGTTTTATGTCAGATTCTTCACACCACGTAGAAAAAGCTAGACTTAATTGAAAATAGAGATTTTTAAATAATTTAGTCGGAACATTTCGAGTTTATTTTCTGATAGGAAGGCAAATTACGCTCCCAAATAACAAGAGTTCAAATGACGAGACAAAAAGCGTAAACAACTGAAGCTTAAGCCATTGCTTGTCCATTTGAGTTGTTTGTTTTCAATGCTGTAATCATGTTTTTTGCTATCAAAACTAGCTAATTTGAATTGTGTAAGGTTGTCCGTTTATCAAGGCAAAGCCCTGAAGGCTCCGACCGCCCCTTAATGCATATCGAATACTTTTGGGGAAAAGAATATTGAAAAAGTATAATCTTTGGACACTACCAAAGATCAACTGTGAAAATTGATACGACTGATTAGCTAACATCAACGAACGATTTTGTTGCGCGGTATAATTGGCATCGCATAAATCATTTGCGTTACGCTTTCACCATTATGAATAAATTGCTGTATAAACGCGCATAAATTGGTCCAGAGCATGGCAAAATTGGAAATTGTCAAAGTCCTAGAACATTGTAAAAACTGATTGGAGGTAAGTTTGTTTTATATTTGAGTTCAAAAAGTCAATATCTTCAATGGGGTATCAAAGATTTTTGTCAAAAATTATTATTTCGATCGCCGAAAATTGACTGAATAAAACAAGATGGCTCGCATATCATGGCGAAGCCTCAAATGTTCCGACGGGATTCGCATATCAAGCCGACGGACTTCAAGTCGAATCGTAAAATTGGAGCCAAAGGAGAATTCGAGCCAAAATTGTTCCCAAAAAGTCATAAAGTATGCTTATTTGAAGACTGGTTTAAATAATTGTCATAAATAACGCTCATTATGGACTAAACTTGGACTAACAGATAAAAAATAGTATTTTGTGGTGCCTATAATGATTAAATTTCGACCTGTTTCGACTGCTCTTTTTTCCATATCGAATAGTTTTTGTAAAAGTTTTTTTTTGAAAAACTATAAATTTTGGAAAATATCAAAGATTTAGCGAGAAAATTTGAGAAAACAAAATTAGCGAGAAAACAAAATCGTACGAACGATTTTGTTTTTCGGAATAATTCGCCGCGCTTAAATAATCCGCGTCACATTTTCCGCATTATGAATAAAATCTTCAAAGCGTGCATAAATTAGTCCAGATCATGGCCAAATTGGCAATATTCAAATTCCCAAAACTTTGCGAAAAATGATCAGAGGTCAAATAGAACATTCTGACGTTTAAAATATAAATATTCGAAAATCATTCATTTTCAGTTTTTTTGGACTTAAGGTTCCTCATGAAAATGTTGACTTAGTTTGTTCGCAGTATCCATCTAATCATTGATTCATCTGGTTTCGTTCAATAGTTTATTCTGCAGTAATTTTTTGCTGTTTCAAACTTGTCATATCGGCTTAGAGTTTTTTTCAGTTTCAGCGAGAGCAAGCGACTTGTAATTGGAAATTAGACTTTATTCCCTTCAACAACTTTATTTGCAAACCTACAAGAAAAAGAATTTGCTGGTTATTGAACCTTAACAACTTCCAGACTACTTCCCTTGGTCTAGAGGTAACGTGAACGGTGCTGATGTTTTTGGGCATGTTTAAAATTGAAATTTGTTCCGGGAAAAAGTGAATTGTCGGACTTCCGTTTGCCTGTTCCTTTTTTGTTGATTTTGCAAAGCATTGAATTTTCTTCTGATCTTAAATTTTTTTACATGGATTGACAGTTGCTCTGTTATTTGAAACGTTACAAATTTGAGTAAGATTTTTCGGCTCTTTCCTTTTTCCCCCACCTCACTCAAACATGAATTTTATGGTCTAACGAGTGGAAGGAAAAAGAGACGATTTTTCAGTTTTTTCGATCAGGTATTTATGGCTATATGAAGATAGTATATGAAGATGCTATATGAAGATAGTAAATTCGACTAAAATAAAACTCGATTACATTCGCTATTTTGGGTTTAGATTCTGCTGCTCTCTGGCAAGTTCTACAGTCTTCAGGGCCTTCTTGTTAGCCCCGACAAAGTGTTGCAATGGCAACTCCAAAACATGGTATGCCTCGATTCCGGTCATCTTATTACAACTGCTATTCATTCATTAACTATTTGTAACTGAATATTTTTAGAACATTTTATCGATGCTGAATGCCGAGTCACAAGCGGCCAATTTGAAGAAAAAGGGAAAAGAGAAAGAGAAGGAAAGTCAGGACAAAATAACTGGAGGCGCTGGACTAACTACAGATGCTTCAACCATTTCAGCCGGCAATCAGAATCCCAATGCGGCTATGCAATCTACTGACATGACTAACACAGGAGCCAATTCAAAACTGGATTCGACATTGACTAAAGAACAGCTGGAGGCATCACTGAATCAGAATGTGTTCGCAGCTGCCACTTATGACGAAGAAGGACACCTGCTGGAGGGGGAAACTGAAGTGAGCAGGGATTCTGAGCTGCAGAAGAACAGACGCGACAGAATTATGCGCGACAAGGTTTGGAAGTTTTTTTATAACTTGCTAGGTGAAAGAAGATGTTTTTCTACAACATTTGCGCCGCTTTTTAAAAAATGATTCTAGGTCGACTAAGTTAATTTTCCGTGCTCTTCGAAAACAGTATTAAAGATTTTATTTACGTAAATTGCCGCGCAGGCAATTTTTGGAAAAAAACGGCATTTTGGGCACGTTTTATAGGTTTTGTCACTAGCGTAAAATTCATTGATATTAGCTCATCGATAACGCCATTTAAAGTGATTGGATTTATAATTTAGACTAGATTTCCCAGTTGAATAGAAAAGCTACTTTTTGATCCAGTTTTTGCGAATTGTGTTGGTTTTTTCAATCATAATTCTTGAAGTTACAAGAGCCTCAAGAGGAAATTTTTTTTTGTTGAAGTTGAAAATTTCAAAAATAGCTAAGGAATTGAGTTCATTGACACTTCTGTCTGTTGGCAATATTTTTTAACTGGTCTGTTTGATTTTGATCACAATGCTTAGGGGAGGTTTGCAAAGAGTGTCTTCGCCTCTGTATGATATATCACTCTACCCGTTGTTCTCTTTGGTGCAGACTTTGGTTCGAAAAAACACAATTGAAGCAAGTCCTTCGCAGGAAAATCGATGGATTGCCTAATCTATAAATCGAAGCATTAGTCTCGAAAAAACTATGCTGTTAACATGTTAGTTATGAGTAGTAATTACTTTTGTGTGTAGAGGGCGTTTCTGCAGCACAGCCTGCTGTATGCACAAGCGACTGAGCTGCTGTCGCAGAGTGTGCAGCTGGCTCTCTCCTCTGGCGACTACTCTCTAGCAGCCAGTGCTGCCCTGGAAATGGTGGAGACAGTTGCCCAGTACGATCCCAATATCGCCTCACAGTACCTGGCCTTGCATCAGGTAGCCATTCAATATATGTACAGGCGATGCCTGTATGATTTTATAGCGGATAACTTTTCGTAGTTTGTTTTACGGAATAAAAAAGACTTAAAAATCGTTTTTTTTTCACAAAAAAAAAGTTTTTTTTTGGTCTCCGTGTTTTTGACTTTTTGCAACTGTTTGTTTAAGAGTCGATGAACGCGATAATTTTCTTCTCTTTTTTTTTGCTTTCGGCAAAGTCTGAAAGTTTGTTCAGGCTCAAATTTAATTTTTCGCTGTTTGATTTATGATTTTTAAATTCAATTCATTTCCCCTGTTAATAGGACGGCAAACTCCACAAAAAAATGGACAGCGAAAGTGTAAAGCTCAGAAAAAACGTGATCGACTTCTACTTTCAGAAATGGAATTTAATTATCAGATTTCCCAGCGAAAAAAAATTTACTTATTGATCCAGTTTTCTAAAATTGGGTTAATTTTATCAAAAAAAAACTGCCATTCATAAATTGTTCTAGAAATTCAAAGAGTTTTCAGGCCATCTATTTTTTTCTTGAAAAAACAAAAGTCACTATTTTTTTAATTGCACTCATTGACTTTTTTCCAACTGTCTGTTGATTGTGTTTGGCTGTTTTTCTGCTTATTCGGTTCCTTTCTGAAAGGTCTTGCGGATCTTGTTAACTATTTGCCCCCCTTTTGGACCTTGTTAACTATTCCCCGTAACTATTCCCCGTAACTATTCCCACGTAAAAATTTTTAAATACATATATTTTCTGAAAATTGTTTGGTGTTTTAAGCTATTGAAAATATGACCGCCAAATTTGAATTTCTAAAAATCGAAATAGGGGGGATAGTTAACAAGATCCGGTCTTGCTTCTTTTTCAGAGTTGTCTGGTGAGTGTGGAAGCAAGTAAGCTACTGGAAATGGCCATCAGTGACACTAGCTACTCTTTCCTACACTCCCTGTTGAGGCAGAACCAGTTGGCACACGAGGCACCCACTGGCACCTCTGCCTCTGTCACCACCACCACCACTACTCCCACCCCCAACCGAAGCATCACTTCACACCTCAACAACTTCGAGGTCAGCATGCATTTTGGCAACAGCAGTAAAAAACAACTCCCATTAATAAACTTGATTAGCAACCCTAAGCCTATCTGATTTACGTTTGTTCGGTTGCAAACATTAGATGTTTTGCAGATGAGTTGGATTCAAATCTCATTTCATAGTTAGCCCCAATTTTTTCAAGCTTTGAGAAGCCTGCTAATGTTTTCTGAGAAATATCGTTCGTTGTAATAATAAGGGTGTTTTCAGGCATGGCGCAGAACTCAGGTGAAGCCGAATCACTTTGAGTTCACCAAAGAGTATCCCTCGAGCGTCAACTTTGTCGTCATTCAGCATTCGCCGGACAAGTGAGCAGCCATCTATCTATTGCTCAGCATTGAAAATCATGAAATTGGTCTCCTTTAGTAGCATTCGTTAATTTAACCATATTTGCAGGAAGTTCATTTACTTGGGTCTTCTGGACAAACCCAAGACGTCTGCTCCAGTGAAAGGAAAACAAGTCACAACTTCCGGTAAATAGTCATCCAGTTGATATCTTGTTTGGAAAAAACAGATAAATCATTGATCTGAAGAACAAAATGGCTAGTGAATTGTCGAAAATGGAAAAAGTAATTGATCGATTGTGCCATCGGCTACCATTAGTTGTTCTCGAAACGTTTTTTAACGCTCATTGGGGACAAAAAAGGACATTTGTTTTGTTCTAGTTGGGGACTCGAAAGCGAGAATATTCAGGGTAGCAGTGGAGGCAGGCAGCTGTGCTGGAGGATTGAGTGGACTGATCGAACGGGTGGACAAGTTCCAGTTGGACATGAAGACGTACTACCTGCAGAGGGAGTCCAGAATGTCACAGCAGTCATACCAGGCCAAACTCATGCAGTCCCTGGGCAGTGGGAACAATGGGGAGAAACATAATAAGGTCTGTTATGTTAATGTGCTTTGAAATTACGTTAAATTAGTGAGGTAAACTTCTGTTGATATGGGAAAGGCAGATTAACAAAGTGAAATTAAAAAACAGCCCATGTTTCAGGGCTCGTAGGGAAAGAAACTTTGATTATTTGCTTTTATGTCGTGCAATGGAGTGAAGTCAGAAATCAAGGAATGATGATTTTGATCTAAATAAATTTACATAGTTAATGTCTATTTTCAGACGATAAAACTGCCCAAAAAGCTTCGGGTAAATTAATGTGATAATTAATTTATTGCGAGCTGTGTATTTGAACACCACCATTCATGGTTTGCTTTGAGAACCGTGTTGACTTAGGAGCGGAAATACCTGCCGTATAACGTAGAGAAACAAGTTTCAATGGAAGCTGCAATAAAGTAGATGGAAACTACATAAGGGTTTCTGCTAAAAGTTATTATGATATCTATTCATAAATAATGGGAACGTATAATTCGTAGTCAAATTGTGAAACTTTGACAGTTGAGTGCGGTTGAAGAAGAGAGAAGTGACGCGGCAAAGGGTAAAAGTTCGAAGCCGACCAGCCGAGTCGTGAGCTCGAAGAGTACCGTGTTGCAAGTAGAGTTTAAAGACATCAAAGATGACGATGAGGAGGAAGAGATGGCTCTTAAACCGATAGGGGAAGATGCCGACGGGGAAGATTGCGTGGACGAAGACGACGGACAGAGTTCGGGAGGAGACAGCGATGTAGGATGTTAACTAAGGAGCAAATTGGGAGCAAAAATTAACCATTTTTTGAATTCATTGCTGCTCACTAACTAGATTGTTGTATCGTTTCACTGCAAAGTCAAGCGAACATCCTTAGCTACGGACGTCCAATGCGTCCGAAATATAGCTTAAATTAACTCCTGGAGCTAATACTTTCGGAAATGGTAGCAGTTAGATTGTTGAAGTTTTTGGAACTTTAAAAGTAATATCAGTTATGCATAACCACTAATCTTCATTACATGTACCTGGACTCAATTTGTGCGTTTGCTTCACTAACCTCATGTTCCCTAATTTGTTTGTTCTCCTCTGTGTTGGAATTGTGGCCAAGTTGTGAATCATTATTATCTCGAAGTTAACGCAGTTAGTTTTTCTGTAGGACTGGAAAGAAGAGGAGGCTAGACAGGAGGCCATGTTGCAAGCAGAGTTCGAGAAGATTCTAGAAGATACTGAGAACTATCTTGCAGCCGTCACTGGCATTCTTAGAGTCGAGTTACAGTACGTGTTTTGAGTTCTAAGGAAACATGAACGTCAATTTTGATGCTTTTTTGAACTAGTTAATTGAATTCAACTGAGATTTTGATTATTTCAGACATTTGAGTGATTCAGCATCGGATCCCAACTTCATGGTTGTCTTGTTAGCCGACTTTGAATTACAGCGACTCCCATTGGAGGCTCTCGCCCTCTTGCGGGAAAACCCGAACATCTCCGGCTTCTCGCGAGACTTCTCATTGCAAATGTTCCACAATCGGTTCACAGCTGACTCGAGTGATGAAGGGGTGGATGGGGAAGGAAAAGAGAAGAAAGCGAAAGGGGAGAAAGCAGCGGGAGGTGCTGGGGGTAAGAACGTGAAAACACAGAAAGAATCCAAGAGGCCCCAAGTGAAGGTGTCCTCCTTGGACCGGGAGATAAGTCCTGGTTTCCTGGGAGTGGATGTGCATGCAGTGTCTTATGTGGTGGATCCTTTGAAGGAGGCGAGCGAATACGACGAATTCAAGCCAGAGGTGGTAATGAAGAAGTACCTGAGTGATCCTGTGTTCAGTGCCAAGTACATGGCCAGGTGGATGGGAGTGATTGGCGGAGACAAAATGCCCACGTGAGTCGAGACGAGATAATTCATGATCTAATTGAAAATAATTGAAGAACTAACGCTCGGAATTTATGGTAAAATCAGGTTATTTAGTTAGTTTTGAGATGCGTTCCTTTCAAGGTTTAGTTTTTCTGATTTATGAATGACAGAAAAACTCTGACTAATACATATTGCATTAGGAGAAGACGCCATAAAAAGTGCCAAGCAGAGTTCTTAACGTAAGATAATTGTGACTGCCATGCCTTTCTCTCTACCTTGTCTTTATTACTTTCCTCCTTATTTTTGTCGTCTTAATGTGTGGGTGCCAGCAGGGGCGGATCTAGGATTTTCTCGAGGGGGGGGGGCGGATTTTCAAAATTTTTTAAAGTCGACTAAATTGATTTTCCGAGCTCTGTCAAAGCACCAAAAAGACCGTTTTGGCCAAATTTTTTGCACCACAGGCAAAATTTTGAAAAAACATACCAAAAAATGCGTTTTCAGTCACTTTTTGGAAAATTTTTACCAAAAAATTGCGTTTTTTCGGCGCGCGCTCCCCCTCAAAATTATTATATTTTGGCGCCTTTAGAAAAAATTTTGGTCAGCCAGCCAAAAATGGATATCTCGAAATAGTACAAAGGGGGAGGGGGTGACCCTTTGGGTCGGCATGGGGTTGAACTTCTGAAGTGGGTCGTCCGCTCCCCCCCCCCCCCAAGTCCGCTCCTGGATGCCAGTATTCTAATTTCAGGTAGATTTTGTTTTAGGGTACTCCTATATCTTATTCAGAATCTATCGGAGAGAATAAATTTCTCCGATTTTTTTTTATCTCTCAAGATTTTGCATGTGTTGATTACAAAAGTTTTGTCTCGTGAGTTGCGTTGTCTCTTCGGAAATCTCGCTTGTGGTCACTGTTCGTTTTTATTTGTTCTGCTCACATATTTATTCTGGTGTGTTGTTTGTCCCTGCAGAACTGGCGACTGGATTGAGGTGATGAAGGACTGCAATGCACTCATCTACTATGGCCTGGAGGACCTGTTTTCCTACCTGGCGTCTGACAGACTGCTTCCAGTGTGTCTTAATGAGTGCCAGCTGCTCCTCATGCTCGACAGGGTCCAGAGTTACCCCAGTTACAAGAGAGTGTCCAAGGAGAACGTCAACAAATCGTAAGAGTAAAATTACTTTAGTCATTCCTCATTTGAGTTGTTCAACCAAATAGTACCAAAGTATACTAATATTCATTTTTCAATATTTGAAGTCATTTCAGATGATGTCATTTGAGTTTTGAAGTCATTTCAGATGAGTTTGTTTGTCTTTTACGATTCAGACTAAACTTGTAATGATTATTTTCAGGAGGTAAACATTTGCACTTTGTTCTCATGCGGCATGCATTTTTTGAACTGTGAAGTGTGAAAGGAGAGGAGATGCTTACATGCCATAAAGGACTGAGATAGTTTGCAAAATTGAGAAACTGATTCATTTCTCTCTCAGATGATTTGGTAGATAAATGACTGTTGTTTTCTGACGCCGCTGGTGGTAAGGTCGTGCTTCGTTGAATTTTTTTATGTCAGTTTCATCTTTAACCTTCTTTCTCTATGAAAAGTTTCAACAATGTAACTAACCTCAACCCCTCAAACTTATTTTTCATTGGATTATCGCTGCAATGGTAGCTGCCCAATTGGTGATTGAAGTGCATGTTCTAATGAACCAACTTCTCAATCAATAATAAGGCATGCTAGTAGCAGGAAGAAATCATTGAAATAATTGACAGGAAAATATTGAAATGTGGCCATTATAGATTTAAAAAAAGCGCGTTCAGTCAAATGCACTTTTATGAAACACAATTGTTAAGGATGTTTGACTTCGATGATACGACTTTGAGAGTGAATTGATTTATTGATTGGTTTGAACTCTTAGGGCGACGCAGATACACCTGGAGGCGCCAGTGAACGTGAGCATGCTGCTCTCTCTGGTTGGAGTTGGATCCATTATGATCAACCAGTGGTTCGGCAAGTCACAGGACAACAAACACAGATTCGATCTCATCATGAAGCGTGAGTGTTCCTGTTCATTGGCAAACAAACAATTCTTTTCTCTTCGAAAGTAAAATTAAATTGCTCGCGTAATTTAACGTATTTAACTTATACAGTGCTGATTTAAATTAACCGGACAAAACGCGTTAATCTTGAAATTTAAAACGCGTTTTTCTCAAATTGGGTTTAGTTTAGGTGAAAACTCATTAAGACAAAACTTGCTTAGAATTTTAGCAGAATTGATATGGTGTAATTTGTTTTGCGAAATTCGGGTCCGAAATTTTACCCCCAAAATGGGTCATTTTGGCTTTTCTTAGTTAATCAAAAATTACGCCAAAAACACCCAGTCGATCACAAACATAATTATATCAAAGTGAGCCCCCTACGTAGCCCAACAAACTTTAAGAAGGGTATAATCTCCAAAATATTGTATAAGTTAATTTATTTTTGTTTGATAGACAAAAAAGGTCATTTTTACTATATAAAATACCAACTTTTTATTTAAAAACAATTTTTAAACAATATGCAATTTTTTTTGGAGAAAATACCCTTCTTAAAGTTTGTTGAGCTACGTAAGGGGCTCACTTTGATATAATTATGTTTGTGATCGACTGGGTGTTTTTGGCGTAATTTTTGATTAACTAAGAAAAGCCAAAATGACCCATTTTGGGGGTAAAATTACGGACCCGAATTTCGCAAAACAAATTACACCATATCAATTCTGCTAAAATTCTAAGCAAGTTTTGTCTTATGAGTTTTCACCTAAACTCAACCCAATTTGAGAAAAACGCGTTTTAAATTTCAAGTTTAACGCGTTTTGTCCGGTTAATTTAAATCAGCACTGTATTTGTTCCGACCATTAAAAATGGGGAACAATTTTGTATCAGGATGTGTTTTAGTTTTTTCTTTTTTTGTTTTCCACGAAAAATCAGGTGCCACAAATAATCATCGTAATGGAATTACGAGGCCAAACTTTGCACTGGATAGGCGCACAATTTTGTGTCTGTATGTTCCTGGATTCCAGAGACAAGTCTTTAAACATGTTAAAATTTTGTCGGAACGATCAAAGGAAAAGAAAGAACAAAAGAAGAACAAAGGGAGCGTCCTTGTTGCGGAATCCGCTTGCAATGCACAAAATGCACAGTTTGGCCTCGTAATGGGGTTGAATGATATCTCATTACATTTGCGAGCTTTAGCGGGTGTAGTGTAATAGTACGGCTATTCTTTTTTTCCAAACTAAGTCGCTAATATTGGTGCCACTTTTTATGTTTTCCAATTATTGCATGCAAAGTTAGTGTGGATGCCTTCAATTTGTTATATTCCAAATAGTTACATGCAAAATGTGTCAATTGATATTTGGTGCCACTTTTGGTGCATCGCTTTGGCAATTTATAATTTATTAGCATGTGTAGCTGTGTGTGCAGGCAGGGCATGCGACGTCAAATCTCGAGGGCGCAGGTTCTAATTCGATACGTAGTAAAGTTTCACTATTTCGAGGCTTAATTTGTATTTTTTCGTATTTCACTTTAGTTTTCACTTCAAAAACTGCTTTGAAAATTTTGAGATTTTGTCTAATTTCGAGCAAGTAACGCGATCGAGTAACCTTCATTAAATAAAAACTTATAGAAATTGGTCAATTAAGCTGAAAAAAATTTGATTTTACGAAAAGAGAAACCAGTTGGGGAAGCTTCACTTAGCGCAAAGTTTTCTAGAAAAAATACAGAATTTTATTGTGCAAAAACGATAGACAAAATTTTAGAATTTGTTTGAAGTTTGTTCTCATGTTTGTTTTTCATTTTTTGAAAATAACTGTTGTAAATTTTGTTTAACTTACTAACTGTATTCATGTTTTTATATTTTTCTTATCATACCACCCACAAAAATCGATTTGAAATTGAAGAAGAAATGAAAAAGAACTGTTTTTGTTTTTTATTGTGAACGTGGTCCAAACATTCTGTGCTACATGCTTAGGAAGCAACCAGCTATCCTTAATTTTAAACAAACATGTTTTTTAACGTCAATTCAAATGGACAACGCAAGGCTAAAAACATGTTTTTAGATGCCATTTAAGAGCAACTTGGAAGAAATAGATCTACTTTCTTTCAATTGAATTATCTCTAAGCACACAGAAACGCTTTTTTTACACAAGAGGAGCGTAGTGTCTTATAAAGGTATCTTTTTTTCAAATCTAAGTAGCAAATAAAGATGCTTGTTATTTGGTGGCCTCTCTGCATTTTTATATCTGGTTAAGTTTAGGTTAGGTTCCATAGCCTTATGGTTTTGAACCTGGTTTATTGGTGGCTCATTCCGGTTTGATAAAAAACAGGTGTTATGAAAATATATGCGATATTGGGGCGTTTTAATATTATTTTATGAGACGCTTACCGATTTTCAAAAAACTTTTACCTATGCAGAGACTAGACTGGCTACTCCCTTTTCAGCCTGGCTATTTCGCTAGTATCTTTTCACTTCAACCGACATTCTACGGTCTTCGAAAATCTCGAGAATCACCGTGTTATATCTGAGATTAAGAATTCAATTAAAAGCACGTGGTTTGACGATTTTCCCTGCATAAGCAGCTACGCCCCAATTTTCGTTAGAAAAGGAGTTTACGCCTTTGAAAATGTCAAACTTTGAAGATTTGACCGTTTTTGAAACCTTTTTCTTTTTCTCGAAAACTACCCTGTCAGTTCTGAGGTTAAAAAAAAACAGATTTTGTGAATCTTTGCTGTACAACTATGGTTTTCACTCTCATTTTTGGTGAAATTTTTTTGAAAAAAGTATGTTTTTTTGAAATTTTGCTGATTTTTGACCCGACAAATCTTAGATAAAGGGTTCAATCGAAATACTAAGCTGTAAAGGCATCCCTGCTTAAGCAAATTGTTCCAATTTTGGTAAGGTCTCCGCTATGGACTCAAAAGTTGTTTGACCTTTTTACTCGTTTTTGGATTTCGTTCAATTTCCCAAAAACGACCGTGCCCATTCTGTAAAAAAAGAAATCCATCAAACAGAGATGTTTCTTTCCTGCAAAAGCGTTTTCTTCACATTTTTGATAAGAATCAGCTATGGACTCGGTGAATGTTCAACTTTTGACTTGTTTCATCTCGTATTCCATAGTATTTAGTGGGCGAGTGTCGTATTGTCGATTTAGGTTTATTTCGTTTTCTCTGATATCAAAGTTTAGCTGAATCAGTTGGAAGGCTTCTGAGGAGACCGTCAGCTTACATCGGTCATCGTAACTTTTAGACTTGATTGACAAAGGAGTAACAACTGGTCAGTTACACAAACTGCTCTGCTACCCTCCACAGGAAGATGAAAAGGACACCCTGCCCCCACTTCCTAATGCCAGCGCCACTATCTTAGAGATACCCGAAGGAAAAGATGGGGACAGGGCAGAACTGAAATCAGGCAAGAGTCGAGATGGAGTTCATTCGGGCAAGGGACACAGCAAACCAAACACTGGCTCCGAGAAATCGAGAGCACCTTCCTCCGGTTAGCTGGCTTCAAAGTTTTTCTCTTGAATTTGTTAATTATAATAATAATACGGCATTTTTATTAGAAATCAGTTTTTTACTGCAGTCTTTTTTTGTAACTTGAAGAGCATAAGTACTGATGCGATTTGTTTATGTTTCAGCTAAGCAGGCTCAAGCAAATGTAGTGAAGCCTGCTTCTCCAGTTTGCAAACACCCCTTCGAAGCACCCCCAGTTCTATACACTAACTTCAACATGACCCTCTATGGCCTGCCGAGCATTATACTTACGTGAACAAATCAGCTACAGACTCAGAAAAGTGAACTGAATTAACTGTAGATAACTTTCTCATTGTAACAAAAATGAACCATACGTGATATCATGAATAAATGTAGCTAACCTGTTGATTGTAAATGTGTAAATAACTGAACTCGCTAATTCAGATTACCCGAATTACGGAATCGAATCATTTCAAATTAATACAATAATTGCATAAATAAAATATATTAACTCATTACACTAGTCAAAGGTAATTGGGTGCTGCTAGTTAATTTTTCACTCTTCTCTGCTCGCTTCCTTTAGAAGCGCTGACATACTCAGTTCACTGGAAAATCAAATTGGGCTACTGGTTTATAGTAGCTGCTATTCATTTAGCTTCAGTAAGTGATGTGAATTTTCACTTGATTTGGTCATGTTTTTTCTGAGTTTTAAACGTTGTCAAATCCGGAACATGACACTGATTTTCCAGGGAATGGCATTTTTAGATTGCATTTTTTTCTCAAATTGAACTTGATTCAAGATAAACCGAGATCATCAATTAAAAAATCTGGAAAGATCTAATGAAATTTTTGACTAAGAGGCTCTTGTCTCATTTTCTGTCGGCCAGTTTGTAATGCTGTTTGTGTCGTATCACAAGCGGAGCGAAATTTCATTTCGCATCTTTCTTTCATTTGAAACTACTAGCAAGTCCATCCAAAAATAAAAATTTTCTAACCTATGTTAATAACAAAGTCATTTATTTGATTTCAGTTTAAGTTGAACAAGATCGCAACTTGTGAATATTTGAAGCAAGATGATGAAGCAATGAGAACTTGAACATACCAAGTTGTTTGCATAGCTTACAATGGCTTACAAAAAAAGCTTTTTAAAACAAACTATGACGATAAAACTCATTGCAACTTCCTAAGGTGTTTGCTGGCTTGAGAGGATTTCAAAAAAATGATAGGAAAAGAGTCAATGATCGCAAAAAAAAGTTTTTGTAAAGCAAGCTTCAGGGCTATAAAGCTCCGAAGTCTTTTAAATTACTACAATCGCAAACATTGGTTCACAAGAAGTTAAAGACTCCTGAATGAAGTTTTTCAAATTTTGAAACCTTGCAATATTTCAAGTTATTTTAATTGCTTGAAAAAAAAAACAGCAAAAAAATATTTTTTTTTTGGAAGCGAACTATTCAGTTTCTGGAATTTTCAGCTTGTTTTGACAGCTTTCCTTGGTTCGCAAGAAGTGAGATTGTTGAAAGCAAACTATTCAAAAGATCAAACTTGAAGCAATTTAGTTTGTTTTGATATTTCATGCTTCTCTCGATATCATGGTAGGGTTCCTTTTTTTTACATAGCTATTTAAATTAAAGATTTAAAAATCGAACCGCTGGACGTTGAATTTGTCATACTTTTCAATTTTTTAAAAATGTTAAAATAGTCTTTCTCGTCATTAGGGCCTGATTTATTGCTTCCGACGGGCTGGTGGTAGATGAGAGAAGTTTTCTCTTTGTCTCACTGTTCTCCATATTGCAAATTCCCAATTTATTCCCAATTTATTCTGACTCGTCAATCTCTGATTTTTCACGTGATAGCTTTATCTGTCAGCGTTTCTTAGAAGTGCTCACAGGATCTTCTGTCTCTCTGTTTTTGATTTAAGAGCTTATACCTCTCAAATTTCGTTAAAGGATGGTTGTTAAGAGAAGAACCTAGAAATTCCTAGAGTTCTTTTAAATTGTCATCAAATATTAAACTCTATCGTTGGTCCGAGCATATTTCTTTTTTCTTTGGTTTCCTAGTTCTAAATAAAGGATAGCACGCAATCTTAGTCAGCTTCTGCCCTTCTCATCTCATTGAATTTTTCTTCATTGCGTTTACCCGCTTTTTTTTTAATAAGGATTCGTTTATTTTAATCGCGTTCTTGTTTCTTGTTTCTCTACTGACTCTATCTGACTTCAGTTCATTAACTGAAGCTTGCTGCAAGATCGGAAATCGTTTCTGGGATCTCTGGTCCTCAAAGACTGTTGATGTACAGTATCTCTTTCGGAATAATCGCCAATTCAAAATGGTGGCTCCATTGAGCTCATTTGATTGGCGTGAGTTGGCGGCTCCATGGCGTGATTTGGCCTTAATTTAGGAATTCCCCGCAAATTTTATTTGTTGACTGCGTCATAAAAGTACTAAGATTTTCTATTTCCTTATGTGAAAACTATGTTCATTAAACTAAAATATCAAAAAACTAATATAAATGTGTTGAATCAAAACGCCTGTTAAAAAAACCAACACGAATAGTGATTAATTGACCGACGGTCGATTCATGACAAAAATTGACAGGTATATAGCCATTACCGAAGGTCATAAGTATAGAGTATTAAAATGAATCACAACCCTGCGCCTGCCTGAAGAAACAACTACAGAATTCATCAACCTTCAATGCCCAAATGTAGGCTAACAGTCACAATTTTTTCCCTAAAATTAAACACGCTCTGGGAAAGCTGAAATGACGAGAAGATCATCTGTTAAAAAGGTTGCGCAGTCATTAAGCAAAATAAAAGAACTAGACTTCAAGAGATAGCAAAACAACTTCGCTGTTCCTGAAATTGATCCGAAAATTTCAGGAACAGCGCAACCTGGTATGCTCAATACTAAGGTGCAACTCCGTTATAAAATGTTGAACATGCAACTAACTACTGGAACTGTGGTCAATGCTCAACACTTCCTCACACAAAAAATTCTAGAATCTTTACTATAGGCTCGAAGCCAATAAAGAGTTCTTGAGTTAGTTATTTACGCCAAGTGTGACCACATGCAGCTTACTCACCAGCAGTTTTTCTCACATTGCCAATTTGAACCCTACCCCGATACTTGGACCAAAATCTGGGTATAAGAACAACATTTTGACCTCCGCTGTCAAGTAAACCAAAAAACCCTGAATCATTTTATCAACAACTGCCCGCAAGGCCAATGGCAGTGAAAAGAAAAACACGGCGAGGCACGGCATCTAATTGAAGCAAGCTCACCCGCATACCACAATACCACATTATCGCATATTACAGCAAAATTTCGGGAAATTGTACCCTGATCAGATTAAATCTAAATTATCAAGTACAAATCAACCCTCGAGCCTAAGTTTTTAGGAGCATTCACTAAAACCCAACAAAAGCAAGACATGAATATGACATATGGCAACCAAATATGAATCACTGAAAGGTTATTTCAATATCTACGCCCATGTCTTAGTTTATATACATCCAATAAACGTATGTTCACAGTGTGCAATTTGGAGCTATCTGAGGCTTCCACAGAAAAACATGAATCCCTCTTTAATCGAATGCTCATCCTCAGAATGACGAGTTAGACCCTTGTAGGAAAACTGGCC